ACCTGCCCCCGGGGCCCCAGCCTCAGGTAAGGAGACCATTGATGTTGAATCCATGTTTATCCACCACTTGGTTGAATGTTACTTTTTTGGACACGTCACATTGGGGAGGGTGTGCTAGCTCACAGGGGGTACCCTAGTCGGGAGTTGACTACCTTTAGTAGAGAAACGTGATCTACCATGGTTGTATTGCAATCCTTTCTTATAGGTAGCTAGCCTGGATAGTTTTATATCCACCGTCAAACTCATCAAGAGGTGGATGCCTCCAACGAGATGAGAAGAATACAGGGAGGAGGATGATGAGGTTGGGAGTATAGAGTTGAATGACCGTGAAGACATTGGTTCCAGCTCTAAGAGTTTAAAGAGATAATAGAGAGCCATGATCCATCTGCTCAGGGGATGTAAGGTGGTACCTGCTTATTGGATAATGAAACAAGAGAGCAGATATTAACAAACATCCACATCAGCTATTTTATGTTGCTTTAGAAGTGAATAAGAATATATTTATATTTCCATGGTAACACATACCATTAGATGAAATGTAAGCAGGTTTTTGATGTGATAATGCATTCAAAGTACATTTTCATCTAATAAAGATTATACAACTTTCAATTTATAAGATGATATAGAGCTCCATTTTTTTATTTTACAGAGAGAAAGCAAGAAAGCAGTTAAAAACTGATAAACTTTCAAATTATCAGTTCATTTTCAATTGCAATATATATTTTGAAAATTGACATGAAATATTATAAAAGCTAAGAAGAATGCTTCTTTTTTTTCACATGTGATGTTCAAAATTAAAATGTTAAATTTCAAGTCCTACAAATGACCCAATCTTCATCTGAATTTATAGCTTTTTATTTATACTGCTGCAGTTATAATTATTTAGTCATTGTGAGTGAAGAGATCAGGGACCCAGCTTATAAAGAGTTGTGATTGATTTTAAACAATGGCAGTTAATCACAACTCCTATCTCTTAAGTACACAGTTGAGATTGATTTTAAGTTGTGATTGATCACAGCTCTTTATAATACATGGTACTGCCCAGAACTACTTCTGGTCTATCTGGAAAAGGTTAGAGAAAAAAGAAGTTGTTTGAAGACATCATGACAACATTTCATAAAAATTAAGAGAATATATCCCAGATAGATCCCTAAACTAAAAGAGCTGGCTCATACTAAAAAACATGATCTTCATTCAGTTTAGAATACAAATAATAAAATTAAAAAAATTATTCAGTTAAGTTCGAATGACCTATATGTTTTTGGGACGTAAATAGTTTCCAGCCAGCGTCATATTTTCATTTACGTCATTAAAATAAGTGTTTTTTTTTCTTCTCCAAACGATACATCTCTTACATCAGGAAAAAGGCAGAGATACCAAAATAGAAAACAATCTTACATGTTGTGAAGGAGGGGGGCCTCAAGAGAAATCACCACATTTAGCTTGGTGAGAGTGAGAAAATGGCATCAAATATGGATTGGTTCTCACTGCAACCAAGATCAATATTTATATCTCATCACCTAAAGTGTGGGCAGTGGCCAGTGTGATTGATAGCACTAATCATGGGATTACAGCTTCAAAATTTGGGCCTGTTTGGAGGGAAAACATGGTCAGTAGACTGCCTTGTTTGTACGTCTGACCATCCGTCTGTCTCCATCCTCTCCCAATCCTCTCCCAATCCTCCTCCTCCTCATCCCTCTCTCCAAGTTTATGTCATCTATTTTTGCAGGAAGTTGATATGTTGATACAACTAAAACTAATCATGTTTTCTTTTGTCATGGGAGGATTTTCAATCATCATTTTCTGCATGGTTTGACATACAAGATGGCAGCTATTTGATTGAACAAAGACAGTTTCACAAGTTTGGTTTTGTGATCTTCAATCCATTTGCTATTTGTACAACCCATGTATTACTGTATGAAATAAACCAGATAAAGGCAGGCTATGGAAGTACAAATGGAAATGTAGTTTATTCACTAATGTCAAAGAGTGCCCTGGATTTTTTGTCTTTGTTAAAGGTTTTCTATGCATGATTTTTATGGGGATCTCAATAGTTCAAGACAAATGCATCTTCAGTCCAAAAACTAGATCATGTTATGATGGAACTGATAAATCAAAGTTAAGAAAGAATATGGAACTTTAGGGATAGTGCTTGCTGCTTGTCAAGGAAATGTATTTTTGTATTTATGATGTTCTTTCTTCAGGCTTATTGATGTTCGATGTACAAGATTTGACAGTCTTAGAAATAGAACAGCAAACAAATAAAACAAATGAAAAAACAGGAATAAAAACAAAAAACAAACAAAAACAACAACAGCAAATTCAACAGTGTTTTGATGAGGTATATTTCAGGGGATGATGTGAATTTCATAGATTAGAATCAAGATGGAAAGATTGGAGACGAGAAGATATATTGGCCGCTCAGAGTCAAAGGCAAAATAAGACTCAGCTAGTACCACACATAGCCGTCAGCTCTCTAGGCACTGAGCACAAGATTAATTGCATTGTCGGGCAAGAAGAAGGAGAAGAAGCGGGGCAACAGCTCAGGCTGTTTACCAACAAGCTAAGGCCTGCCCCAGGCAGATAAACTTAATTTGAGCCATATCTTGAAATCTATAGACGTAAATATATCTAGGGCTCAGCCTCTGTATGACTCTCAGACATGAGAGGCGCTTGATCAAATGTTACCGCTTTTGGGCTTTCTCCTTTTTTCTTCTAATTCTGACCCTTTTCTATTTTGTTTCCATTGTATATATTATTAGATGAATATTCCTCATGACTGTTGGCAGGTCATTGGGGAATCACACTTTAGAAGCAAAATAGAATTGCTATTTATGGCTTAAATAGCACTATCTTTACCCTTCATCTAATGTATTTTACACTATTTTTGGAAAAGTATAATTACAGTGATGTAGATCAGAATATCTAGAGGACTGTGAAACATACACCCTCATTCCAGCAGGTATCTAGATTATTGTTCCCTGTACTATTTACACTCTTGTGGCTACTTGCATACATTTTCAACACAGTTGCACATCAGTTATACCAAAATCAAATTATACCAACCCAGTTTACAAAAAATACTGCACAAAAGAAAACATATCAAAGACATCAAATTAAATTGTTTAATCATTTGCAGAATGTTATATCAAACCAGTACAATAGTGGTTTTGTATCGGTTCCTTCAAATTATGTTTTATCATGTTTATATCAAATCATTCAAGTGTTTTGTATGTGTTTAAACAATTAAAAGTTCCCAATCAGTCCACTATTCATTAAGGCACTCGTTCAGGAAATTTATATTTGTTTTAATGATGGAGATGTATTTTCTAGGGGAAAAATACATTAAGTCTCTTATTATCAATATTTGTATATATTGTTGACTATAAAAGATTATGATAAAAATGATAGAATGAAGATAATATTTTTCATGACATGACATGTGATATTAATGAGCCCTACCCCACCCGATGTCCCTTGGCCATATTTTGTGCATGGTTGTACGTACCTTTATTCTGATCCTCATTGATTTACATTATATGATGTTTTGTTATAGACTGCATTATTTTGTCTGTACATTAATGTTGCTGCATTTTAATTTTTCTCTGTGAATATGTGCTTCGTTTTGTGCTTTTTATATTTGCATTGACAAAATTGTAGCTGACACTGTGTTTTAATATAATAACTATGGTGGATTCACAATCCACTGCGTCATTACTGGATAAAGTCAACAAAAATATCAGCTGTAGCTTTTTTATATACCAAGGAGATAGGGGGATTTAATCCAAATTTTGGGTTGGGAAGGCTTGAATAGCATATCCAGGGTAATTTTTTTTACCCTACCTTATGGACCCTACTAATGTCGTTTTGGCCAATTTAACAACAACAAAACAATTTTGGATAGGAAACTGACCGTTATGGTCACTTTTGATCAGGGATAATTTTCCAATCATTATTGTCAACAAAGGAGATTCGAAGGGCCTTTTCTATCTAAAAATATGCCCTGATGCTAGAAAAATTGGTCAAACTGAGCTCATCAAAATCAATTTGGGTCATTTTTGCCAACAAATGACAATTTCTATTGATCTTTGACCAAAATCAGGCCAAAATATAAGTCAATTGATGGGTGGCTTTTGACATAAAAATTCAATATAGAAATGTACACTGATATCAGAAGTTTGGACCACTTTGGTCATTTCGATCAATGGCTAGTGTTTTGCTGCGCTGCACTGGTTGAAAGATGTCGCGAGAAGAACAACTTGCCTGTCACGGCTTGCCGGTGGGGGCGCTGTTACTTGTCAATCCACCATATTGATATATAACATGTGATAAGACATATGTATAAATTTGAAGAGAAATAGATAGCATGAGTATTGTGATTGACAATTTTTAACTGCATTGTTTTCCATGGGATACACTATTTACCTTTTATATCTATTGTGTGTATTTGGACAATTTTAATCAAGAAACCTAATCTTTTAACAGTTCATATGAAATAAACTTGGATATTTGTCAAATTAGCTGAAGAATACCTGATCATAAATTGTGGATGGAATAACTTATTGAGAAGTAATCAGTGGATAGAGAAATATCAAGCCCTTTATGTGTGCAAATTGGGATACATCATTACCACTAAAAGTATATATTATTTCATTCTCAATACAGTGTAAACTATGTGTTATCATAACATGATATATTTTAGCAGATTGATATTGAGTTCTCCTTTCAAGTGTTCTTATTCTGCATGTCTCATGAGTACTCCCAGTCTGCATGTATATGATCCTGATATGTAAGTATGGAATGCTTTATGTTTATGATTTTATATTGTTGCCATTTGTGACTTGCATGGTTGCAGCATGTTTTTATATATCGCATTTGTGTTTGTCTTTGTGTTTGCATGCCACTCCCCACCCCTCCCTTGATGATCCATCTCCCCCTCCCACCCCTCCCTACCCTACCCCACATACCCCCTCTGCCCACCAAACCTTCCCCCTGATCAGGAGTTGACCCCCCTCCACTGCCACTACCCATCCCCACCATACCTCGACCCATTGACGTGCCAGACCCCTTACCAACTGAGTTACCTGTTCTTCCTGATGAAGAAACTCCTACTGGACCCGTGGCTACCGCACCTCTTGACCTGAGTGCCATCAGTGTTCAACCTCAGAGCATCACGTTATCTTGGAGACCACCGACTGTTGTCCCAGGCTCTCTACTTCGATATCAGCTCTATCTTCAGAAAGATGAAGAGGGCGCCAGGTAGGTGATCTAATCTCAACCCCTCCCTACATCTGAAATATGATATCTCTGATTTTAATGACCAGAAAGTTCTAAAATAGATTTGTGCTAGTCCCAATTGTAGTTAATTGTTTTATTCTCTTTACTGGAACATCAATATTTTTGTAATTTCAGTGGGAAATAGTTTAGAAACTCATTCTATATACTTACCAATAGACATTTTATGAGAAAATTCCCAGTGCAAATATTTTTTAACTTCTGAAAATACATTTTGAAAATTTGTTTCTAGAAGAAGGATGATTTGAGTGGTGACAAGAAGAAGAAAAAAAAACACCTCATGCTTTTAAAGTTCAATGAGATTTTGTGGCACAGACAGGAATCTTATTCTTCATATTGAATATTTATATGATATTGAATGGCCTTGAGTGGGATACAAGGGCATATCCCAAGAGCTGGTACTGACTCGTGAAATACGCCCACCAGCTCTTGGGATATATTCTCAAAGCGAGTGCGATATACTCTTACTCTTGTGCCCCACAACGGAAAAATCTGTTCAGTATTATTATTATCTGTCTGAAACGTAGTATTTCAGTGTTCATTATTGCATTCAAATGCTTTTGTATGACTTGCACATTAAATATGCAGAGAAAAGACTTTCTTTTCCCGTACCCAAAATATTATAAACAATGCCTAAGCAGTACCTGTTGCTCCCCCATGGTCCCATTTTTCTTATGTTAATTGAGAGCTGATTTGATGAGATAACCACCTGTCAGTGACCATTAGGTCTAATCCCTCCTGGCCAAACTAGTGCAGATAGGCTTTAATGATTACGATAGATCGATCATAAAAGAGGAATCTATTATTTTGTCTGTGTTTTTATAGGAAGAGGCTTGTGGATGTCAACAAGGATACCTTGACTAAGATGGTGACAGATCTCTTACCCAATCAAGCATATCGTATATGGGTAGTAGCAGAGAATAACAATGGACTAGGAGCATCTTCTAATGTCATCATAGTCACAACGCCAGATGATACAAGTGAGTCCATTAGTTCATGATTTGTTACTGATCGGGTAAGAATTTAAAGCCTGGAATATTTTTCAAGACTGAGATGGAAATTACATGTTTATATGTGTACATAGAGACTTCTTCAGTAAATATCAGTTTTTAAAAATAAAAGTTTATTAGATTAATATTACAATTTTTCAGTGATATGAATTAAACTCATCTTCCTGGTGGCAAATGTGATATAAAGATGTGTTATGCGTTTAAAAACAAACGCATTGTTACAATCAAAGCAGTGAACTTGTTGTCTGGGATTTAATACTGTAATATAGGAAGTTGTAGAAAGTGAAATGATTCATTATGTTAAACATCCTGCTTGAAATACATACAACATACATCATTTTTACCAACTCCCAGGAGTGACACCTGATGAAGTGACAGACATGAGAGCAATCCCACTCTCCTCCACCTCCATGGAGTTGTCATGGCGACCACCCTTTGACACGCACGGTGACCTGATGAACTACATTGTTCGGGTGACTGATGAGATGATGGGGAGTACGATGGAAAGAGAGGTGGCGCCCTCGGACAATAGCCTCGTTCTTGACAACCTGGATGTATACACGCTCTATGAGATGACGGTGATCCCCTATAATGCTAATGGAGCAGGAGGAACCAGTACAATTGATGCCAGAACACCTGGGGCAGGCAAGTAGAACTAGAATGAGTAATATCTTTTGTTTTAAAATTCAAAGTTTTCTCTGTTCTTTTGTTTTACAATTGGTACTCCAATTTGTGTCAGTTATATTTTCACATATTGTCAACATATATTTGTTGTGGTTTAATAAAATTAATGAAAGAACTTCATGCCGTATGTTTGATAAAGTCAGAAGATGCCACTCTAAAAATAATTTGGTAACAAATCATTTGATGATATAGATTAATTTCACATTCTTTTTATATATACTTTTGAGGTGACAGTTTATAAAGAAGATTTTTGTAAGAAAAAGTTTTTCTTATGATGTGTACTCTAAATCTACTTTGTGTCGACCCTATACACATCTGAATTATTGTTTTTAACATGAAAGAAATACCAATGTAAAAATGCTCTTAAACCAACTTGAATCATATATTTTTGCTTTTCTTTTAGATCCAACGGGTATGCCCACTAATGTGAGTGTGAATCCTGCTCCAGCGGTGCCCAATGCCCTGGATATCTCTTGGGTACCACCTCCAATCCACGAGCGTAACGGAGAGATCATGGAATATAAGCTACGATACCGTGTGAGGGGAGGAGAGGGAATACCGGTCACCATAATGGGGAAAGCTACTTCATACAGAATAGAAGGTGATTATACATTCATCACAAAAATGAATCAAGAAATATAATTCATGATTAGAAATGTTTGGCATGATTTCCTTATTGATTTTTAAAAAAATTGTGTTCATATTTGGTGACGAGCCTTCTGCTCATATGAGAGCTGGGGAAAAATAAGACGAACTCTACAGATAAAGCTAATTTATACAAGGAATTTGTAATATAACTTACTTTAATTCCTTAATATATGAAGATTGCATCTGTCTGAGTCACATTATTTCATTCAGATATAACATGTAACTTGAATGGTAAATGCATTGAATTTAAAGTAGAACAATAGTAACATGTCCATGAATTCTGCCAAGTGCCTGAAGATGATGTCCAGTATGTTGACACATTTTTAGCTTTTCTTGAGAGCAAAACATATTTACGTTGAGTGGGGAAATAACTGCTTGGGGGATTCAACTCGATCACTTGTCTTGTACAAGCACACATTTGCATTTGAGACCCTCATGAATAGATGCATGAAATAAATAGACAAAACCCAACTACGCACTGACATTATGACAATACATGAACACCCATCCTACTTTTGAAAATGTAGAATTTCCTATAGAATTGAGCATAAATGCAAAATATCAAAGAGCCTTTCAAATAACCTGGTGGGAATCAATACATTCCATGTTTATGTTTCTGCTGGGTAGTTAAAATCTAGAGTTTCCTATAGAATTGAGCATAATTTGCACGATTCCAAAGAGCCTTTCAAATAACCTGGTGAGAATCAATATGTAACATGTTTATGTTTCTGCTGAGTAGTTGATTTGTGAGGTTTACAATAACACAGATTTGAACCTGAAATCTCATTGAACCTTGACTTAATAACAAAAAGGCTTTTCTGCTCTATGTTTATATTGTCATCTTATGAAATTTATATACTTTTTATGATTTTTTTTTCATGTGAGAAATTCAGTGTGATATCAGTTTATACCTGCTGAGAAGTTGAATCTCATAGTGGGAGCAGTTGAAGTATAAGCATAGTATTGGAGAAACTGACTGGGTTGTGTAGTTGCAGAATCTTACCCCCTTTAAATTCTCCTGCAGCCAGTTCAAATTTAATTTAAGCCAGGGTAATAATCGGGAGCGCCAGGAGTGTCAAGTCTGACAGACATGAGCGCTATACAAGAACCCACTATTATTATTATTATTTATCATAAGGTTTCCAAGATAACTGGTTAATCAATAGGTGTAGTTGCAGACACTTGCCTCTTCAAATTCTCCTGCAGCCAGTCATAAATGAATTATAATGAATTATAAGGTTTCGAAGATGAATGGTTAATGAATAGGTATGTTTAGACATAGTTTATTTGATAATTTTCACAGAGATGTGCAAAGTTTAAACAACCTTTGACAGAATGTAATAAATAATATAATGAAAATAATTCAGGAATCAAATTGATCAAAGAATCTTAGAATAATCAAGAACATTTGTAATTTGTTTTCAATAGTTATTGTTATGCTATATCTATGATGTGGATCATAATTCACAATGTCGAATATGAATATATCTATAATATTTAAAACTAATTAACTGACCAATGCTTGATGTTACTTAGCAGAAGTGATATTAAACATATGTTTGTTCTCTCCTCCAAACCAATGCACGTAGACCTGGAAAGAGAGACGGATTATGAAGTAAGGATAGCCATGGTTAATGTCAATGGGACTGGACCGTTCACTGAGTGGATCGCTGGTAGAACAGAGGTTCTTGCACCAAATGGTAAGGAAACTACATTTCTTTTTTTTAAATATGATTCTACAGAAGTATGTCCATCCTGAAACATAAAGTGTTTTACTTTCCTAACTGACTTTGTGGAACTTTGTAGATCTCAGCCAAGTCTTGAAATATTTCCTTCCTTTCTCATGAAATAAAAATTCTTTTCTCATAGCAGTCCATTTTCCTTTCTACTCACACTTTCCTCAAGGTGTCCAAAGGTGTTATTCTTTATGGGAAATCACTCTTATTTTCTATTGCAAATGCTCTTTTATTTCAATAATAATCCATTTCTTTCTGGTTACATTTTTCATTTTCTGTTGATAGAAAACACTAAGTCAATTGCATTCCCCCTAAACACAATATCTAGTAATAAAGCACATTTACAACACATGTAGGTATAGTAGTAGTATTCTTTTGAGGAAAATTCTGTTTCTCTTAACCCAATGAGGTCACACTTTAAGATGCTATATCATCCTTTCTGACTTTTCTATATGTGTTCTTGAAACTAATGGTCTTTGATACTAACTCATATTTTTCTTTTGTTTTTCACTTCTTTCTTATTTCATTCATTTTAATAATAACCCCTCTTCCTAATGCTTCAACCATGCTCCAACCTTCAATGATATCCCAACCTACTCTTTCCCAACCTTGACTCTCCCATCCTACAACTTCTCCTTGACTTGTTCTGGGTAATGGTTTCCCCGATAGAAAATATACCACCGCCCCCTCCCACCGTAATCGAAACGAGAACGTTTGCCCATCAAATCACCATGCATTGGAGTCATCCCGAGGCAGCCATAGTTCTGGTGGAGGGTTACATCCTTGGTTACGGGGAGAACATCCCTGACATTACAGTCCTTGAGTTGGACGGCTCCACCCGCTATGTGGAGTTAGAAAATCTTAAAGTGAACACAAACTATGTGATCAAGCTTAGAGCTTTTAACAAGGCTGGAGAGGGCCAGCCCGTCTTCGAGAATGTCAGGACAAGCACTGATGGCAGTAAGTTGGCAACATTTGGTTTATGCATGGCCGTCTCTGTTGATAGCAGTTGTGAAGTTGTTACAGCATGATATCGTCTATACGTCTCGTCGTGAATTCTGCATCTTGTTGCATGTTCTTTTACGAATGACGCATGTTGTGTTGTTCTGCATGATTTGATTTCAGTCTGTATGTTTTATCATATCGAATAATAAACTGTTAACTTGTGTTTACAAATGATAAAAGGCAAATGTTTATGATTAAATTGTTTAAGGATATGTATAAATATGTGAAGAACTGAAATTACATGTAGACTAATCTAGAACACATGGAAAGTTGTCAAATGGATGATTCTATGCAATATGTCCCATCAGGACATACAATGATTGACATTTATCCATACATTTCATCACTGAATGAAACATTTCTGGATCAGACTGACTAAGGGTAGTGATACCTGAAAGTACCTTTATTCAGTGATCATATCAAGAGATTCTTCATTGTGGGATAAGAATCACAGTGATTCATTTCGCTTTTCCCCTCCCAGACACAGGTGATGCCAAATACTTAATGATGATAATAATATCATGTAGAAGAGAAGACATTATGTCATAAGGGACACATTGTATGGAATCATACTATTACGACTTTTGGGGATTTGAAATAAATATATTCAAGGCAAGTTTTAGATATTTTCTGAAACTTCAGGTACATTGTATAATGCATACATGGTTCTTTGTGTTCTCCATTAAAGGATATTAAAAACCAGACATTTCTCACAGATTTCAATCGTAATTACTGAAATATATTATGCATAGTAATACTTATCCATGTTTCTTATTAGTGAATGGTTTAGAGAACTTGATATATTTGCATGCACTTGTGCATGTTTTTATTTTTGTAATTTCTTGGTGTGTACAGTATCAATATTACTTCATAATACAAAGAAATCATATGGTTTTTGAATGAGGATATTAAATGTAAATTACATCCGTATCAACATGTTATCAAGAATCTATTTTGATCAACAATTCTACGTCACTTCGTAGTAATACTTTGTGTTTGTGATCAATAGGGCGATGAATCTTGTGACTATAAATATCTTATCTAACATCTTGTTGCATGCCTGTAGTACACTGTCTGTGTGGTATTATCTTTTGTTAGATGTTGGTTTTTGTCATTTATATAACTGTTTTATCCATTAACATCAAACTAACCAATTATCAGTATACTTTCTTATAATGATCTCTGTCACTTTAATTCTTGAGACCTTGCTGATAAAGACTACAACAAATGCAGCCATGCTATACAAATTCTTTGATATTTCTTAATTGAGATATATTTAGAAATAAATTTTTAGCCATATTACAGAATATTGAAAGAAGCATCAAGCCTATAATATTATTCTGATCGAATGAGGTCTCAAACCTAAAGTGACAAAGATAGTGCATCATATTTCATGTTTGATCTATCAATCTTCTTTCTTTTAGAGGTTCGTCTGGGTCAATGCTCTCTCAAACATTCTTTCATCTCTATCTTCAGCATCTACTCTATTTTTCCTGTCATTTTTCAAACTTTTTCAAGCTTTCCAGATTCTTCTTTCATTTACCAACATCTATGCCTGACATTTTGTATTATACATCATCACATTACAGGCAGTATTCCCTATATCGGAATGGGCCTACCCCCAAGTAAGATAAATTGAGTTCTTTTCTTGAAGAACGTGGTGTTACGTATCATTTCAATAGCCCTTTTTTTATTTCATTCCCTTCTCATCGTCATCATCACTGTCATCATCGGCTTCATCGTTATCTTCACCTTGCTACATGTCTTGTGAAAAAAGGGGCTGTTTTCATCAAATTGTTTCTCCTCTACCATTTTTGATTTAATTTCTTTCTTTTCAGTCATTCTTACCTCGTTTTCCATCTGCTACTGCTGGTTCAGCATATATATGATTTGAACAAATTCCTAATCATGCATGGATAATGCCAATTACAGTTTATATCTCTCCTACTATGCATGGTTTCGATGTCTTCATAAGAATGTCTTGTTTATATGTATTGCATGCATTACCTGCACATTTAACTATAAGCATGATAAGTAAGTTTAGTATTTAAAATGTCTTTAGGTTGCCTGGTTTCTACTAGAAACCTTGCAAATACGTTAAGCAAAGTAAATGACTTTCTTTCTCTGATTTGCTGGTTAAAATTTGCAGAAAGATTTAATCAAGTTTGATTGGCAAATTGTCCACCCTTTAAAGAAAACACAGTGAAATAGCAAATGATACAAATAACGATAAGATAATGCTACTAATAATAACACTCGCCCATTCTTTGTTTGTATTGATGTATATGCCCTTTGCTTGAAATTTAGAACTATGCAAGAGGTAAAAAAGAGAAAGAGGAAGAAGAAGAAATGGAATGAGGATTAGAGGAGAATGAAGAAGAACCAAATAAGAAGAGAGGAAGTTGAAAAAGAAGATAAAGAAGAAGTTGGAATGGTTTGCAAATCACATGCCTAGAAGCTTTAGCTCAGTAAATTTACAATTCTGTTGTGTATTTGTGTTCTTTGTCAGCCGAAAGAAGTCGCACACTTGCCACTTAATGATGCATTTCTGTTTCTGCAGAACACTTGATGGGCCATTTTGACACACTGATGCATTTGTGATATTTGTGCCACTCGCTGGATTTGCATTAATTAATTATGTGGCTTTATTTGTGTTCTGCAGTAAGCTCAAGTCAGAGCATTTGTGATATTAGTTGTTTCTTATTAACTTAATGACTACTGAAGTCTTTACTTCCCATATTGGTTGATACAGGGGCTACCCATTTCATGTAGGCAATGGGTTGAAAATTATGAAAACTTGACAGTATTTTGAATGAAATACAAAAACTTTCCTCAAAGAGTATTTTTGATGATTGAAATATTTGGCTGCATCAGAGCAACAACAGTTAATTTTGAATAATATTTTCAATTCATCATTTGAGTTGAGTACAGAGATATGGCAGCCTTTTGAGCTTGAGAAGGTTCTGAAAGGTCTTGATTTCTTTCCATTAATTATACAAGTACAAATGATAAAATCTGTTCAACAGATAACTCTCAGTGTTTTGCCTGATTGCACTATGTAAAAAACCCTGTAAGCACACAATGTGAGATATAAAAGTGTTAATAAAGTGAGCAATATGTTGTTCTTCCAATGATGATGGTGCACCTTATATTTGTGTTTCTCAGTGTAATGGCTTAACCCTGGAACCAGTACTGCTAATTGACAACATGGCTGATTATCCATTTTATGTACTACCCTATTGCACAGTGCACATAATGTGATTCTTTACATGTGAATTTGATATGTCAAGGCTTTTTTATATTTGTACAGCAGGGGCCTTTCAAAAATAATAGAATAGAATATTATTCAAATAGAATAAAAGATTATGAAATAAACATGGGAAAATATTTTCTTAAAAGTAATCAACATTTTGGATCTTAAACGATATAATTACGGGTCATTTTGATAAAGACCTTTCTAAAAGCAATTTGAGTTTGAAAGATCTTTTCTAATGTTAGATGTTATACTTTGTTCTTTAATAAATTGATCATATTTGATTTCTGTCAACAGCTAGTTTAATTGCACCTTGTTGTAACAGTGGTGACTCGGCTTATACTTTTCCAATACTAAATTTAACAAATTACCTGAGCTTTGTAATGTAAAAAATGCATTATATTTTGCAGAAATGTAAGCATGTTTTTGTTGTTGTCCTAGGCACTGGATTTGAGAAGACCATGCAGACACCTTCAGAGTTGATAGCAACACCGGAGTCATCCAGAGCAATCCTGCTGACGTGGTATGATCCTAACCCTGCAAGTCTAGAGGAGGGAGTCATCAGATATTATTCCTTGGTCTATAGCAGGAACAATGGGTAAGGATAATGTTATCACGAAACTATCGTGTACGATCCTTTATTATTTATGATCAGCTCACAATATCCAAAATGTATGATAAGCATATTAAGGAAAGGAGTAAAATGTTTTTAGTAGGCATATAGAGCTATAAGATCTTTGACAGTATTAAAAGAAAGACATTATGGAGTCTTGATTTCTAGAATAGTTTCCTCTTTAATATTTGAAGCTGCTGCTATACCCATCACACTCAAGAACACTTTTACGTGGATAAGTTATAAATGCATTTAATTTATGATTGAAAATTCACTCGCTAACTTACAATTTTGCTAGCTTTGTCTTGTGTAGTTGTTTACTTTTACTTTTAATTGTTTTATCATCCTTACTTCCTTACTTGAAGCCACCCTGGTGAAAAAAAAATCTTAATTGAAATGATAATATAAATACATCTGTAATTTCTTTTTACCTTGACAGACCAACATACTATGCTAATGCCACACAGCCTCAGTTCCTAGTAACAGGACTGAAACCAGCCACCATGTATGATTTCCAAGTCATGGTTACTGAGGGTCAAAAAGCCAGTAAATTCTCTATTATCACCTCTGCAGAGACCATGAATGCAGGTAAGGGCTAGCTTGTTTTCTTTTATTATCTTAGTTCTTTCTTTCTTCTATTCTTTATAAATAGCCTATAGTTCATCTTTTAATTTAGAGCCAGAATGCTTTAAATCAAATGATTTTGCACAGAGTTATCACTCTTCTTGCTCTCAGCAAAGGATAAATCACTTATTTAAAAAAAAAATGAAGCTGTTCCAAAAATTGTTTCCGAGCTGTTAAATATCTGACAGATGGGATGCTTCGATAGTGTTTTTTGACGTCAGAGGGAAAAATCTAATATAACAACAAGTTTTCATTCCTGATTGTAATCTAGAAATCTAAAAAAAGATTGTTGTGCTGGTTTATGTGTAGGTACATAGTGAAAATAAGCAATAAGGCATTTATTTTGTTTCATTTAGACATTGACTTGAATAAAAGATATAGATAAAATGCTAGTACAGGACCTAAAATGGGCAACAATTTGCATTGTGAATACAAGAATTTTATATACATTTTTTTTGTAAACTCTATTTAACCTGTATTTACCTGTACTTGTAGTATTTAAACTTATTACAATATATGCAAATGAGTTGTTTAATAAAAACATACAGGTAATATATGCAAAGGGCCATTGTTTTTGTGTATAGTGAGTTGTTCCTCCCAAGCTTCTAAAATGCTTTAAAAAGTCTGCTATTTATATCTTTATATTTCTAGATATTATCAACCGCCACCCTTACCAAGGTACTTTGTCCAATAAATGAAAATTGTTAGGAATGTTGCATGATGATTAACAATTGTGCCCCATCCATCAACTGAGTAGATCCACTGTGTAAATCAAAGTGCAATGTTTTAACAAGTGTGCCCTGTCTGCAAATTGATTAGATTGCATTCTGTAAATTGAGTGCAATGTTATCAATTTAAGTCTACATTCAACGTGATAATCTTTCCCCATATGGTTTGTGCATCTGTGTAAGTCTTCATCCAAAAAATTGTTCAAGTGATTTTTTGTTTTATGTTATCCATGCTCATCGGCAGACCTATTTGTGCTTTATTCTGTTTCATCTGTTTGAAATGCCATTGATTTTTGTCAATATAAATCTGGCATAATAATGTGAGAATTTGATTTGTGGTATTCCCTATATCCCTATATAGAAACATTCATATCCTAAATGACAACTTTCTTCTTTTGTTGATATCTGGTCTAATAAAGCTAGAACATTTCTGGCATAATTTCTGTCTCTTGAATATCATGTCAATGTATAATTCATCATACATGTGTGGCAGTACTCCCTGTGAAACAATAAATGGTGTGCTTTCAGAAAGCATGGTTACAGTACCCTCTGCATACCAATAGGTAAACTGTGTGCAGGTGCCTTGTATCATAAACCCCCAAATTGTGCATGGTAGATCTTAAGAAAAGATTTTAGTAAATAATGTCTAATTGCTTTATATTAGGAAACTTTTTCTCAACTTCTATTAAATGAAGGGTAAAGAGGGGGAATTAGCTTATGCTTGTTATGTTGTAGGAAAATCACTCATATTTTCCTTCATCAGCCTGTGGATAAGATACAATTTCATCATGTTGATGACTGTGACTGATATATCGAGCTATGATTTATGGAAAATGAATATTATAAGCAAATTTAAACTGTATTCTGTAAGTTGAAATATACCAGATTTACAGGTGTAAATTGATCTCAAGTCATGTAGGTAATTACCAGACAAAATGAAAGTTAGAAGAATAGCAACTCAAGAATGTTATGAACAGAAAGCTAAAATCAGGCAATGTCAACGGAAGCTGAAGTAACAAAGCGTTTGAAAAATGACAGGCTGTGATTTAGTGCCGGAAAGTAAATGTAATACTATCCATTTAATGAAAAAGGGCTGCAACAATGCTAGCTAGAAAACTTCACTCATCTACAAATGTCTTACTGACCTAGCTATTCTCTGCCGACACAAAGAATTTGTAAGGACTCTCATGGTATTCTAGCTATCATTGCTACATAGTACAGACCAAGTCCATTAAACGGTTGGCAATATATTTACTTTCTGGCAGCCAATCACAGCCACTATGTTCCTTTAGCTTCCATTTATATTGCATGATTTAAGCTCATTATTGCAATTTAGTCTCATAGTTGCAAGACGTGAGGCTTTAATACATTTGTATTATTTTGTTGCTGTTCTTCAATTTTTATAGAACAAATGATCACATTAAAATGATGTTCATAAAGTAAGTACAAACTTATAAACTTATAAAACACTTTATATTGGAATCATGCAGTTGCCAAATGTAGTCGCACAGATTTGGATATTGTTTCAAAAGTGTTATGGTGTACAGTATTTTTTCCTCTTTACTGATTTAGAGGTTAGTCTAGCAAGTCTTCTTAATTAAGCTTTATTAATTTCTTGATACTTTATGTTTCCAAGATTGATCGTATTCAATAAGTTGATTAAGCTTTCTTTAAATTGTTTCTTAGTTCCAGATTCTGCGCCTCAGGAGCTGACAGTTAGTGATTTTACCAACACCTCATCATCTCTGGTTGTTGCCTGGCAACCACCTCTTCATCCTAATGGAGATGTCACACGTAAGCATGGACAAAGCAAACATAGTAATAGAGTCAAAACAGGGTAAAGTCCTGTATCATTCAATGTGATAGTGTTACTGAAGTAATTCTAATTTTCTAGTTTTTCCAGAGTCAAGCTCTAAGTGCATTTCTTATTTTTTGTATTATGTGCAATTATATGTATACAGTTATTATATACTTTGATATGTTTCTTTGTGCTTCTATTTCTAAGCATACTTCTACACTAAAGAAAGTTTATATGCTGAAAAGAAAGTTTTCATGTTGATCATGGACCATACAACTTTTGTATATCCCCAACATCTTATTACAAGATATGATTAGTCTTGGATCAACATTTTGTGGTAATGTCTCAAAGAAGCGATTTCTTTTTCTTTCTTTCTTTTTTAATCATATCTTTATTAAGTAATGCTCATGACTTACTGACATAATAAGTTGTATAATGTAACTAATACCTTTACTTTTGTATCCCACCAGGCTATATACTATTCTATGGACCTAAAGGCACAACGAATCCTTCAGAGATTGTAAGGCAAGAGGTTGGAGGAGAGACACTTACCACCTTTGTTCATGATCTTGATGCAAATTCAGAATATGATTTCTCAATTCAGGCAGTCAATGGTGCTGGTATAGGACCTATATCTGATGTAGTCACACATAGAACCAAAGGTAAAAATCTACTGTTTCTTGTCGCCTGGGGCAGTATTAAATTCAGTACAGGATTAAGCCAGTCTTTTACATAGCATATTGCTTGGTTGAGTAAAATGTCCTAACTCGTATTCAGATCACATCTCAGTGTTTTACTGAAGTAGGCTGACTTGAAGGCAAAATACTTAGGGATGAACACTGTGACGTTACAAGATCAATCCAAAACAATGCGATATTGATGTGTCACTTTAAAAATGTGCTGATATGATTTTGCACGGCTTATAACGACTGCATATGAAAACCACATGTGTACCAATCAAGGCTTCCATACTTTAATATTGGCTTAAGTCAGCTAGGGAAGTGTCTTAAATTTAGGATAAAATATGTAGCCAAAAGATTCAATTGAATACTAAATGTGGCTATTTTTCCTAAGCCAAAAACTGGGTAAACTACTCATATTTCTGACATAAGAAATCAATTGAATACCTGCCCTGATGTGCATTATAGACCTTACATCATTATCTTTACATCTGTTTTTAGCAATGAGGAAATTGATGTAGTTTTGTTTTCATCATGATCTCTCTTTGAAGTAAGTCCATATGTGTTCATTTTGTGTTGCAGAGGGGAGTTATCTGCTTGTAATCTTACAGGAAACCATATGAGCTGCATATGTCATTTGATGTAGTTATAGACATTAAAGATATATGTATAATTTATGATGACAATCAGAATTTAGTACATAGATATCAGAACTTAAGAAGGAATTACATTTTTACTAATTAAGCTGGATTGTTGACCAAGCAGAACTGGCGCCTTTTTAAATTGTCTGTTCTGAGCGAGAAGGGTATTAACTCTGTGTTGTATAAGTGCATCCCTTTGGATCCAAACAGATGTGAGTGTTTCTTCTTTTATTCTCTTTTATCTTTTTTTTATCATTGGACTATTTATGACAAATAATTAAAATCTTTTCTCTAAACTTTGCTAGTAATCCCACCTCCTTAAAAAATCATTGATAAAAGTTTTTTATTTTGTAAAAAACTTTGACAGTTTGTAATACAAACTTATCTGTTTTTGTGTGTGTGCCCCACAGGTGCAGGTGCAGCAGCCTACCCCGTGGATGATGTGGCGTTCCCCTGGTGGCTGTGGTTGGCTATTGCTCTAGCCTGTCTCTTCCTCATTGCCCTAGCCATCGCCTTGCTCTTCTGTATCGTCTGTGGTTGTTGTCGATGCTGTCTGAGATGCTGTCCAGGCTGTGCATCACTCTGTGATGATATCTATGCTTGCTTGGAGCCGTGCGGAGCCTGTCTCGCTGGATGCGCATCGGGATGCTGTCCATGTTGCTGCGAAGATGAAGATGACTGCGCCAAGTGCTGGACAAAGTGCTGCTGTGGTGTGCCTTGTTGTGTATGCTGTGGAAAAGATTATAAGGAGAGGAGAGCAAAAGCGTAAGTTCGGCTGCATTCTCCCTGTAAAATTGACATAATAGTGCATCCTTCGATGTGTATTTTGGCATGAAGGAGAAATTACCTAGCTCTTTGAATACTCATGCCCAAGATCACTCAGAATGAACTCTTTTTGAAACGTTTTGTTAAAAGAAATGTCCTGATTAAACAATGAAAATTATTTAACTCTCTGTATCAACTCTTTAACAGTCAGTTGAAAAGCTTCAAGATATACAATAGTGTAATCTGGAGTTTGTTCTCATCTATTCTACCAATCAGAAGGGCCTCTTTAAGAATCAGTGTTGGATGAGCAATCAGGAAATTTTGTGTAATCAACTGTACCATTGAGATCGTTATAATGTGTTTCCATTGTGTTCTTCTTTCAGAGAGCTGACGGGTTATAAATCTGTATCCAACGGCAAAGCCATTCACGCTACCAATGCCACCCAGGTGGAGGGGAATCCCCCTGATCTCTGGGCTGATGAACTCATCATGAAGCAGATGGGAGGAAAGAATATGGCTACACCATCAGAGATGGAATCACTTAATAAATCTGAAAGTAAGTCACTATTTACTGCCTTCTTTTTAATCCATTATGCTTGCTTTGTTAAATCCCAGTATTAATATGTCAGTGTCTTTAGAGTTTTAGTAGCCTCTGAACAATTAAGATTCATAACATTATTATAGGTTCTCATATATACAATTTAAAAATCTTAATCATAGATTATAGGAATATTACTTTGTCCTGTATAGATCTGCATCTTTCTTGAGAAAGAATATAAGTCTAAAGATGACTTGTTTTAGGCATAACAGATTATTTCTCTTAAATGACTTGTCCAGGATAGAGATTAGATTCATTCATAATAATTGCTGAGTATACTAGAGTTAACTTGCATTTAGATAGATGAATAACATACCCAGTCTTTATAGGATGTTGCTTTTGTATATAGTGACTCGTTTCCTTGAGATTCTTTTGTCTCTTTGATACCTTGGTTAAATCTTGGATTCTTCTATCCATGGACGTGGTGGGATTCTGTAAAGGATTAATACACCTGTTGGTGTGATGCCTTACCTTATGTCAGAAGTGGCTTCAATCCATGTCTCCTAGCTGCTTGGCTACTTGCTGTTAACACCTCTTTCATGTTAACGCTTTGCTCTTTTCTCTCTCTCTGTTCCGTCCCTCTCTGCAGTTGAAAGTGAAACACATTTTGCAAATCATGCACAGCAACAACAAGGTAAGAACAGAATAGAAACCTGACCCTGTCCCTTCTGTTTGTTTACATACAAAAAGGGTGTGATGAAACACTTGTGGCTATTCATACCTAGTACTTGCTGTATGATATTGGATGAATTGTATGTATGTGTGTGTATGTGTCTTACCAGTAGGCAGGTTAGATTCGTTCAGACTTGTTACCTGGTGTTAACTCATCGAGGACAGTCTAGGAAACAGCAGGACCTGACCATTAGCATTCACAGTTCACTCAAGAGATTCAAGTCATTCTCTTGAGTGCTTTTGTTCAAGTAGAGCATTGTGACAAGTTGTCCTGGCAACCAACATCATTAAAAGTACATCCCATGGAGCAGAACATCTTGATATCTCCTGCTAGAATGTGCATTTCATCCACATTTTCTCACATTTTCATATTATTCTGCAATAAAGCCAGTATGGTGATTCACTATCCGACTGACATGAAATGTGATTTTCTTTCCAGCTTAGATCTTTCTAAAGAAAAGCAGTAGCAGAAAAAGCACTGTCACTGGAACAAGCATTTGATATTATGCATTCATTATCATCCTTTCAATTCATCAATGATGTTTGTTTGTGTTTATGGTTCATTGGATATGTTCATTACCTACCCATTTTCAAAGATCATTTAAAATCATTGTAGTCATTTATGTTGTCATTATTAAAGTAATGCTCATTTTCATCACCAGTCTTGTCAATATCTAAATTTATGCTGGATGAAAATTCCCTGTCTAATTCTCATGATACATCATCATCTTTAGAACTGACAACATCCCCAGTTCCCTTTCATCAAAACCTCCATCATTATCATCATCATCATCATCTTTATCATCATCATCATCATCATCTTTATCATCTTCATCATCCTCATTCCCATCACAATCACCACCATTGTCATCATTATTACCATTGATGATAATAACACCATTTACTGTTCCTGCATCATTTTATGATAAAACCATTATCATAACACTCTATTATTAATCCACATCATCACTGGTGTCATCTTGTGTTTAACCAGTCATTGGTCATTGTAAATCCTCATTCCATACCCTCTGGTGCATGGTATTTCATTTTCAGAGGCTAATGGCAATTTCCGTCTCACAACCTTGGCTGACAAAGTCAAAAGTACTGCAGAAACGGTTGTTTCTAAGACAGCTGATAAAGAGGAGATCATCCTGAAGGGTAGCGCTAGCATGCCAAACTCGCCTCACCCCGGCAGAAAACCACCAGTCTATGAAGCAGGTATTGATTGCCATGGATTCTTAGAACAGCTCAAAAACTGCAAGTCTTTCCTGAAGATGAACGTGGTTGCTTAGAAAAGTGGACCTTAAGACCCATAGATTGTAGTCTTTGTGGTAGAGGTCTTCCTTTGAAAACAATATTTAGATGATCCTTCTTTTTTCTGCTTGCAAAAGTAGAAAAAAATCTGTAACGGCCGCAACCAATCAGCATGGTGGAACCAACGGGTCAGATGTAGAAGGAATCAACATCAATCTAATTTGTCTTGAAATCTTTCTCCTTCTTATTACCTCTCTCTAGGAACTAGTTAAGCTCAGGTAGTTCTGGTGAAGTAGAAAGTCTTCACTATAATTCACAAGCAAGAAGTCATCCATTGAAGAATCTGTCTTATTTTTTCTTCTTCTTCCAATAATCCTTTTCTTTTTCTTGTTTCAACTAACCTTGCAAGAGTAAAGCAGAGACAGGCATGGTTTACAAGAAGGGTGATATTTGGTTGTATTATTGAAAAGAAAACCTAGGGGCATATATGTACCAAAAGGAGTATATGAATGTTGAGAATAGCTGCATCCAATCTTTTTTTGTCAACTACGAAGTGTCACAATTTTAATGAACCATTAACTGCTTCGATGACACAGTGAAAAACAATGTTTCAATTACAAATGTATTTTAGAGGGTGTTGTAACAGTTCAGGTTATATACTAGTTGTGGTATCTTATAATCTCTTGACTGTCCGAAAATGTTTATGACCATACTACAGTTAAAGATTGATTCAAGATTGATCGAACAAGATACAGTTTTCATCCAGTATAGCACTCATTGCAAAGCATATTCTGCATTTCTCAAAAAAACAAATGTGATTAGATTTGGTGGTCTAACATGTGCTATTAAATTTATGTAGAAAATATAGGCTTTAGTGTTCCGAGATTTGTCAAGAAGATATCTTCAACATGATTTTAGCATGCATTTAGTTGCTAGTATGATAAGTGATACAATGCTTCTTTTATAAAAGCTTTCATTCTATCATTTTGGATCGCTTAGACCGTTACAGCTTCACCGATCGCCGTGTGTCTTTCGTTGATGTAGCACCCATAAATTACATCAGAGGTATACAATAGATTTCTGTGGATTGTAATAACTAATCATCATACACTACACACACCATGAAGAGTTACCACCATTAATCAATTGTTAACATATTAATAGTTTAAAAGACTCATCACACGTTTGTTTCATATCATGTATCCACATCTTCATTTATCAGCTAAGATATTTACAGGAGTAACATTTCTTTACTACAAGTAATTCCTTTAAAAAAAACATGCCATAATTATATAAAATATTGGTACAGTCCCAGTGAAGAGTTGTACTCTTGCTATAATACAGATTTGTGATGATCTGATTTAGTTCTTCCTCATGCTTGGTTTTATAAGGGTTGTTTTCATTATATGAATATCATCATTATGCTATACTAATCTAGCTGTTTACGAACAATTTTCGTACAAAATGAAATGTTCACAACTTTTCGTTTTATTTGTCAATTCATTCTAACCTGGAAGCCCCATTGAAGCACATTGATAAACCAGCTTCCCCTATCTATTCATCTCCAATGTGTCCGTATGCTGCTGTACCATGCAAGAAAAAGAAGAAACCAGGTATAATGTGGTCCACCTGTTGGTACCCCTCCTCTTTAATAATTGCCCCTACTTGTTACCCCCTTGTTACCCCATTATAGGGCTTCAACAAAAAATGGGCAGCCAAAATCCACACCCCATAAATATCAAGTTTGAACATACCGGTAGGGCTCGTGTTTACAGAAAGTAAACCAAAGGTTCAATCCTAACCCTCTTTCCAAGTTAGTTAGTATGGAGCCATGTTGGACAAATGAGGAAGATTCCTGATCAAGAGATAGCTCCTCAACTCTCCCTACCCCCCCCCTCCCCTGTCAATAAGAAAAACAAATATGAACCTATTATAGAAGTATGTTTGGGTTGAAAAGGGATTCTTGAAGTATGTTGATCAGACAAAATGAAATGTACTTGATACACTCTACAGGCAAAATATATATTAAACTTTTTGTGTGATAGAACCTTTATGTATCCATTTGTGACTAGCTGCAAATTCTTCACCCTAGTATTAATACTCACCGACCCCATAGTATCACCTAACTAGTTAATTAAGTTTGTTATACCATAATCCATTTATTGATCCCGCATTCAGCCTACATTCATTGTAGAACATTATTATTATTATTATTATCATCATCAAGATAATTGAAATTGTATAATAGTTAACATATAGACATAGTTCCGTTATGATTCATAACATTGAGAAGACTTTAAACTTTTGTATTATAGATAAGTATCTACTGAAAAATAATCCCATTATGAACTCCTATGATAATTATATAGCAAGAAAATCCATAGCTTTCTCATTATTTTTTAAAATAAATCATTTCTCCTTTTGTCATAATCGTAAGGCACATTGATCATTTAAAACACCAGATTTGTGTCATCAGGAAGAACATAATGCAATGAGTGGTGAAACATTCTTTCAAATATATCATTGTGATCATATTAATGCAAGAACAACTGTACAAGAGGAGCAAAGATGGAGCCTTTCTCCGTAATTATCTTGATGTAGTCTTGTATTGATCTCTCCCTCCTTCTTCATTACCAAACTCATGAAGATTCTCTCCCTCTGAGTGGTAAGATATCCCCGGTAGCCCTGGGGGCATCGGCTACTAGCCCCAGTGCAGACATGCCTTATAAACCAGGTAGAATACTTGTGAACACCCCCCCCCCCCTCCTTCAAGTATTGTGTAAATCAACTCTACCATCTGTTAAGATGTATTCCATTGACCCCAGTGAATTAATTGACAAGTAAAAAGAAATGTCTGTCTACCGTTGGAATATCAATACAGTAACAATTAAACTTGGTAGCCCTATGATAGCACTTCTGCATTAATATGTAGTGTATCTGTAGTGTTTAACCATTGGTATTGAGAATACCATAATCAACCCATTAACATTTTTGTACCATGTTTGCTAATCAGCACACACTCGTAGGCAGTTAGATATTTTGAATTGTGAATTGCATTATTAACTACGTCACATGTACTTATTTACATTTTTTAAAACATGCAAATATACTAATAACAATTTATCAAGTTTATAGAATATCAAAAATATTTCACACTTTGCGTAAACCAAAGTTTGGGGAATTAGTGTGACTGTGACATATATGTCAAAGATTCCTACAGTACCTGCTGCGCAAATCAATTTATGATCAATACTATGCTGTCATGACAAGATATTTTGTGGCTGAAAGTAGCTTGATTAGAGTTATCTAGAGGTTTGTAACATGCTTAGTGTAGAAATACAACCGATATACTTCCATCATATATAACAGTCAGTAATCAATATTTAGAAAGCACTCTTTTTTTTTTATCCATATATCATTTTTATGTCATATTACTGAGATATTGTACCAAGATTTGAATCATATGATTCTGGAATATGCTAAACTCTATATTGTTATACCTTCCTATACCTTTCATTTTGCAATTTTGGTATTTGTGTGTATTTTATTAGTGCATATTTGTTTTATCCCATGTAACTTCATGCCAAACTGAGAACAGAAATTTCATGATCACTTATTGACTGAGTTTCAAGAGCATTGATATTTTCATTGTGTCACAAGAAGTGGACTTGAATATATTATTTTTGACTTGTGCTTTTATTTTAAAATCTCTCTGCATCCAAATTTTGTTTTATTTTATTCAGTTGCATGTTTACTCAAATTCTGTTTTATAATTTTGACCTAGCATGTAATGATTTCATTTTGTGATGCCAGTGAATATTGTGCGAGTAGCTTAATTGTTTGCATGCATGTTTATTAGTACTTGCTTTGTCTTGCCTTGTGTTTGTGTATCTGTAGTGTCCGAGAGTTATATACCGACACAAAGGAGGCAGGTCCAAGAATCTGTGCAGAGAAGTGCACGTCCAGGTAATATACATATTGATAATTTATTTAAAAGTTGAGCGAATTTCAGTTTGCAGATGTACAGGCCATGTTATTGCAATTATGGAATGTACATCTTTATTTAAACCATGTTTTCCTATGTAATCAGATAGTTGAAAAAACATTCAGTATTCTCATTGAATGAAATATTTGTACAAGTCATTTTATTAATCCATTCAATGTTAAATCCGTTGAACACTAAGCCCAAGATAGCTGCTCCTGATAGAGATTATTGAAAATGCACTTTATACCAAAATCACAATTTACTACCGAGTTAAATGGCTATTGCTATCTATTGTTTAGAAATCAAGTAACATAATAGACTAGCATGATGACTCATAAATGAAGAAAGACAAAACAAATTTATGATACTTTATCAATGCTATGTCCATCAAACTAGTTTTTAGGACAATGGAAAAAACAAGAACATGTTACACTAGTCTTTACTTTGAGAGGTAAATGAATTATTAATACTGCTGTTAAAGACTCTTCCTTCATCATTCGAATAATGGACATTCTACTAATTTAAAATATATAAGGGCATGTGTGGCTGTTTCACACACATCTGTGATATTTATTGTTTGAGATGATTATTTGTCTTCAATATGCATGTATTTATATCAGTTGCATGATTTATATTATTTGCATGGTTGTTATGTGCATGTTTTATGTTTTGTACCCCTGCCCCCTCCCTACTCTACAATCCTAGCTAACTATGCTAATGTCAAGAAGGGTGAGAAACCAAATGTCAACATCAACACGACCAATGTTCGCATTGAGGAGGTCAAGAATGAATACCAAGGAAACGATGCTTACTCCACCCTCGGCAGCAATCATTCTGAGTTTCCTGAGACCAGAACTCGTGAGAACTCTGACTCTCAACAGTCTGCCGTGGGTTATCATGACGGTCAGATTGTGACCTTCCCCGATGGTCAAATTGTGGCCAGTAGTGGACTTGCACCAAACCCATTGACCGTCACGTTTGAGGAGACGACTACCACTCATTCGGTGGAGAAGATGGTGCCACAATCAGATGGTAGCAATGTCAAGACCCTGTCAAGTCATCAGACCTTTGCCAAGTCTTACTCCACATCAGATGCATCCAGAGATCGGAATCTACAGACTATACTACAGGATGGCTTAGATAAAGGACCTCTGGCCATTGACATACCTCAGTATGCTGAACAACCTCTCAAAGGTATGATATCAAACTTCTACTAGCTATCTTAATAGGTTGAATACATGAACTTCTCATTATTATTTAAACCCTTCTTATTCTGAAGATCCTTGTCTTGTCAAAGACCAGAGTATAGCTTCTCTCCCTTTTTTCTGATATAATTTTGACGATATGACTTCCACATTGTAATACTTTTAGGATTCATGTAATGAAGTAAAATTTGATCAGTTATAAAATCGTTAATCATTTGCTTGTTTTAGGGGATATTGAACAATAGACAAAGTACAATGAATTTGAGGACTCTTGTCTCTTTGTTCAGTGACTGTTATCCATCTGAAAGCAATATTCATGAGAAACTATTAAGTCTTTCATTTTTAGTTCTTCAATTATAATATTCTGAGAAAAGAACTTGTGGTTTTTTCAGCTCTTTCAATATCCTTTCATAGTTGAAGGTATCTATATCAGGAACCATAACTTACAGTGAAATCAAATTTGAGAAATAAACTCTTGACATGGATTATTCCATATTGGTAATTCTATTCTAATTCTCTCTAATGCGTTGTCTTCCTACCAGCCATCACTGCTCCAACTGTCAGCAGCCTCAATGAACAATCGAGCTACCGTAACAGGTACAACACCTCACAGGATGGCAGCAACACCTCTACTGGTTTCAGTCCAGGAGGACTCAGAGACTACAACTACAGCTCCAGCGAAAATGCCCAGAGAGAATACAACAACTACAACACCATGGACAGCGGCATCGACACTGGACGGAGGCACGACTACCAGACCGGCAGCCTCAGGACGAACCCAAGAGGAGGGATGGTTGAGAACAGCAGCTACGAAGAGACCCAACATTACATAGTCCCTGAGCATTCTCCGGCAAGTCCACCTCTAGGTCACAGTGCGATATCACCAACCTTCCATGATGTCCCTAGGATTACTAGCCCTGTTGACATGGGATCCAGTCCTCCTCCTCTATCACCCATGATGTCCAGGGGTCTGACTCAGGATACTCATCTCTCCTCCAGCGCTATGACCTTACCAATGTCAACCAGTCGTGGCCTTGGCACAGACAATGGCAACTACAAGAGCAGCTCAAGCTACCAGTATCGAAGTGCTTCCAACATCGGCGATATGACTCATCGTGGAGGAGAGTCCCATGGTTCATCAACCATGAGTGGGATCGGAGGTAACCGTAACAAGTGGTACATGGGTGAGGGTAGCGGTAGCGGTACCAATGGCAGTACCAGTGCTTTCACCCCCAATCTGTCTGAGAGCAGGGATATCGACAGAGAGACAAGCTTTGCTAACAGTGTGTATTCTGGTAGCAAGGTCCATGCTGCATCCAGTGACTATGCTACTGACTCCAGAGGTATATTGCAATCAGTGGTATTAGTCAACAAATTTAAGAGGAATAACTTGACAAAAAATAAATGAAATGAATGATTTATCATTCCTTATTTTATGTTTCACTCATATTAAAGATTTTCTGAACGAACTTAAATAGGGAAAAATTGTCTTATTTACAAGATAAATTTTTATGAACAATGAGATCATCGATAAACATTATTATCTGGTATTATCAAATTAGTCTATTAAATGTATCTTCCCATACCCTGCAGTCTTCCATTATCCTCTAAAATGTGCATGTTTGGTGTTTGTATTAGATTGCTAGATGCATGTTTTATGTGACCATTCTGCCTTTCCCTCCTCTCCTAGTGCATGCACCCCTGTCCACCAACCATCAAGACGACCTCCTCTCTTCCGCTCCCATTTCCAATGGCTCCGCTCTCTCCCACAAGTCCAGTTCCTACCGCTATGACTCCAGTGGCCTTTCCAACACTGGGGGCCTGTCTACCGGGACGGGTGGGGTTTCATCGGGAGGAGGAGGTAGCATGTCTTATGGTGGTGTAGGTGGAGGGTCTGGTCTGTCCAATGGAACATCGGCTGATGCAGGGCGTTACTCCTCGAGCCACTCCATGTCTGGAAGTCGCTACTCTTCCAACAATAATAACTCCACGGGTGAACTCTTCTCTGATACCGATGCCGAGGTTGCTAGTACTATGAGTCGTGCTAGGAGCCAAGAAGGTATAGCAAAATCTTGCCTACAAACTTGGTCTTGATCCCATTAGCACAGCTTCTTGAAAAAGTGAAATATGCAGAGTGCAATGCTGCTATAGCAGAAAATACATGACAAGATAATTGGAAAGCTGATTGACTAAAATCTATGATAAAATTACACAATTTAATAACTCTTTACTTCAAAGACAGTGTAATGTTTAGCCTAGATATAATGCTCCTAGTTTGAAGTAGCAATAAACTTTTTATAGATAAGATTATATTTGGTCATTGCAATGTGGTATAAACTGAAACATAGTGTGTCCCTTGTTTACAATTTAGAGAGGCTACTGAAAGGAAATATGAAAATGAGATATATCTTGCTCTAGCATCTTAAAAAGCTTTGGTGTAGTTATACAAAAATTATGCATAATTTGCATTGAATTTGTTTGTGCTTTTCAATATTGCATTACATGTTATCATATACCACTCAGCACTGTAAGGTCTATTGTATCTCAGAAAACTAACAAAATTAATTTTTGTAATTCCATTGTTGATCAAAGTTAGTTACTTAAATAGCTTCTTTGAATGAAATTACAGGTTTTTACTTTGCAATTCATATTCGGCAGTTTCTCTTTGCATGTCCTGATATTTGTTTCTTGAAATTCCCTGCTACATATAACTGTATATAACCCTATATAATGTCCTTCATTCATAATAAGACTTTTTTTTTATTTTGGGGCTTCAAGAATATTAGAAAAAACAAATAAAATGTTAAGCTAACCAGTAGTGAAGCTATTTAGAACACAATTAGTGAGACGCATATATATATATGCCAAATATGCATGTTTCTCTTAATATCTTCAACCCTTATCAAGCCCTATAGATTTCCTCAAAATTTGGTACTTAACTTCTAAAATACTTTGCTAACAGTTTTTACTTTTCATTGTTCATGCTACTTTCCCTGAGTGATTTTATTTATTCCCCTTCCTTCTTTTATCCAATAAGTTTTATACCATCGTCCTCCCATCCCCCAATCATCCTACCTCCCACCTCCTCCCCATCATCATCATCATCGACCACCACCACCAGAGGCCGTCCTCCGTCGCGCACACTCTGCCAATTTCTTTCGCGAAACGAATGACCCAGCAATGGACTATGCGTTTGTTGGAGGAGACGACACGGTGTCCGAGATAGGGATGTCAGAGTATGCGAGGCGCCAAGCTAGGGTCATGGCCCGGGTCAATCACTCGCTCAAACAACGTGTCATTTCAAAGGCTATGTCGCTTGATCATGTAGCAGTTCAACAGATGGTTGATAGAAGAAGAGGTAGAGAATAATACATCTTAAGTCCTCATTTATTGTTGTATCATAAAATAATAATGATAATAATGAAATATCATCATATTACTATAAAACCATTATTCAATCACCATTTATGTATAATTCAATTTTAAATTAATATTGTATATTAAAGGGAAACATCTATAATCCATTATGCTATTCAGTTATATTTCAATAATAGTTGGTCTTTTCAAATGATATCGTAATGTTACATAGGTCCTTAAGGTAATGTGGTGAAAAGTTCTGACCTCCAAAAATAATGTTTAGGTGGAAAATTGATAAATATTGACAAACAGCATTCTTTGCTAATTTCACTAGCCAGTTGCTTATATGTTATGACTGATTACAGTAATATATTTGTAATATGTATGGTTTTGCTAAGGTCTTTTTATGGTATAAAAGCTAAGGTTTATAGCCCTGTTACTGGTGAACAGCAAGGGTGTGTGCGCATGTAGTTACAACACGTTTTATTCCCTAATACAATTTTGCATTGCGGTGTGTGTTTGACCAAAATTAATCCAGCAAAGTTAGTCTACAAAGCACTTAATGTTTGTTATTGTGAAAAACACTGTGTGAACATGTGAGTTAGATAAGAAAGAAAATTGACTGTGTTTGTTTTTCTCAACACTAAACACCTTTTTGCTGGATACCTTTGTTTTCAAACCTTTAGTTTGGCATGTTACAGTCGATTCATGCACATTTCAATGGGGGGGGGGGGGTGGTTGGAAAGTAATCCAATGTCATAAACGAAAACTTATTCTTAAAAGAAAACTAATTCGGGAATTCCATTGTAATGTATATTAAGTATTATAAATTATTTTTAAATATGGTTAAGTCTTATTTGAGGCAAGAGTACTCTACTAATGAAGATGAGAAAGTGGCGTCTTTTATCAATAACTAAGGTTCATCTGGTGAATAGTTCTGTGAATTTAAACTATATGTTTATCATCTATTTCCATGTGAAAGAAAATGGGTTGACATACCAATTTGCCTTTTCTTTTGCTTCCTTATATCAGGGTAAAGAAAGGGAACCTAACAAGCCATTGGTGTAAGCTACATATCCCCATCTTTCCTTCTTCCATTCAGCTTATTTTCTGTCATAACATTTGTCTTTGTTTCACATGATAAAGTGAACTTTATTCATTTCACTGGGATAATCATTAGCTACTTTTTTTCATGAACCTGTTAACACAAATATGAGTGTTTTGTTTTTTATTGATGGCTTTTTGCCAAAGATTTGATCCTTTATTAGCTGAATGCTGTTTCCTAATGAGGCAATTTATTGCCGGAGTACTAAAATAGTTCAGAGCGTAATTTAATAGTCATTATGATCTCACACTTATGAATGTTACACAATTACCATCCATGTTCAGGAACATCTTTAAATCAAACACATGTATTATGCTTATGCAAGCTTTTTCTGTGTTTTTTAAATATTTTTATCTTTTTTGAGTGTTTGGAAATTGTTCCAAACAAAATCTTAAAGTGTTTAAAAAAACTTTATTTCTTCAAAATGATAACATAAAGTGCATGTCCCTACTTTATGTCTGTTATTTTATGTCAATGGACAAGAAACAATTATCAATCTTTTGTCTGGAGCAAATTAGTGTATGTTATCTAAAAGACCATGATGTTTTTAAATACTGTTTTGTAATAACACTTTTTACACCTCACCAAAGCGCATGTATCGGTAGGGATATCTGTTCTCTATGCCCTGATGGTGTATACAATTGCAGATTTCTGGGATTATCTGAGATTACTAACATTGATTTTTTTTATCACACTATGCTACTGCTTTCATCTTGCATACATAGTGTGAAGTCATCCTCTTTTCTCTCTTTATTGCTTTCTCCACAGGGTTTCATCATTATTGTAACAAGATTAACTAAAACCTTCTTTTTCTCCATCTTAATATTAACATTTTCTCTCCCTCTTACTTTGACATTGTATGAGTCACAATGGGTGTACTAATACTTTGTGATTGCTTTGATATTCAAGTTCAACTGATGTCAACATTTATGAATAACAAGTCCTTTAAAACAAATTCCTGTCAGTTGCATATATGACATTTTACTTTCTCCTATCAAGTAATCTTTTCCAAAAGTTGTTTTACTTGATCGTTGTACTTCAGTGTGAATTTGATCATGATGTTCTTGCACAATTTCACAATTTTTGATATATATATTTTTTAAAATAATAATTTGTATGTTTTAAGCAGGAAATAAATGATACATCGGCACATTGCTGTTATATTGTAAATAATTTACATGAGATATCATGCTCGATGGTTTAACTAGGCAAAGAGAACTGAAACATTGTAATGATGTGCTTTTTATGCAGGACTTTAGCCATGAAATGCAGAAAAGAAATGATGGCTGTATGAAACTATGACACCACAGTTCTGCATGAAACTTGGCTGTGAAGTCCATGTATGCGTGCTGTGTTAACTCACATTACAAGCAAATTATACAAAATAAAAGGAGAGCAATCCCGATTTATCAAATGACACTTTATAAAATAACAGCACTCCATATAGTATCAGCACTTCACTCAAAATGTCGACATTTTGGTGCATGTTTGACTTATTTTTGTCTTCTTCAATGTGTTGACCTGATGTGTCTTTGTCTTTTTTCCCCTGGGATATCAGATAATTTGGTTAACACGCAGACCTATGACTTCATGTCTAATGCTTCAACACGCTCTGCTATGTCCGACAGGCCGCCATATGTGTATAGTTCAGGTATTGTCAAGGGAAAACTTCACTAACATATTATTAAGCAGTAGCATGCACTGCATTACATTGGAACAAAATAGTTGTAGATATTGCTTATGCACCTTGTGTCTGCTTTACCTGAAAAGAGAATGTGCTGATAGCAGTTTGCTGAGCTTGATATGATTTTTTTTATTTTAATATCTACTGCATTAAGCAATACTAGAAGCCTGCATTCACATGATAAAAAGGACTCTTCCCTCCTCTTTTGCACTTCTGCATTTTTGCTTTTGTCTTTGTTTAGTATTTTGCCATTATTAATTTTGAAATAACATGTAGAGAAAAATGTAGATTATTTCTTCTCCATCTCTAGAAAATGAAAATCCAAGAGTTAGATTTACTGTAGAAATTGATTTTGTAATATTAGAATATTTTGATATAAACATTTTCTAATTTCAAACACTTAAAATGTCATACAAAATTCTTTTCTAATATAAATTTATATTTTTATACAATTCAAAATCGGGGATATTGATTAAGTTAGGTTGGATAGGAACAAAATTCTGTTTTTTAGCTAACTCCTATTTGCTATTAGTACTGAAGAGCTTGCCATGTGAAGTGCATTTTCTCAGACTTCTAAGTTGGATGATGTTTTTTTTTATTGATGGCTTTTTACAATAGATTTGATACTTTAATAGCTGAATGATGTTTCCTAATGAGGCAATTTATTGTCAGAGTACCTAAGTTGTTCAATAGCCTGATGTAATAGTCGTTATGAACCCACAGTTATGAATGATAAGCAATTACCGTTTCCAGGTAACATCTTGAAATGCATTTAGCATCAAATGCATTATGCTTATGCAAGCTATTTTCTGTGTCTATTTTTACTTTTATCTTTTTCTTTAACATTGCCCTCTCTCTCTTCCTGCTTTCTGTCATCTTCTTACCACTCTCTTTGATCTATTTTCCCACATTTATATTTCTCTTGCTTCTGCATCTTCCCTGATTTGAACAGTCTGCTTTTTCTAAGTGTACTGCTTTGTTTTAAACAAATATATATGCAAGCTTGACTTAGGCCTGTATTATCTTTTATATTTGAGGAAAGATTAACAAAAGCATTAGTATAAAAGATTATTTAGGGTATGGTAGGTACTGCTAAACCTTTATATTGCTTATGATGAAACCTCTATCTAAATTGGTTTTTACTCCCAACATAACCAACATATAAATAGTGGATAAAATGAATCTCACAAAAAATGTAATTTAGGTAAATTTGCTATTTTTTAGCTAACGTGTGCTTATACATATAAATCCCAATTAGAACTCATAGAAATACATGAGAGTTAGATTTCTCTCTTCACCTGTCAAACACTATTATTTTCCTTATTTTCTACAAGCAGTTTCAGGTGATTGATACTTAAATCAGGAATGTTCATGCTTTAAGATAATTTACAATGCCCAATTAGATTAGATAACTAATCTGAGTTGAACAAAGCAAAGTCAATGGCAATTCACTAAATGAAAGTCACATCATTAAAGTTAGGTCCTTTTAGCACAAACTTTTGTTGTTGCTGCAAATTCTTATTAAACTGTTGTGCATATATTGACACATATGTATGCTTGATTAATTTGATTAACATGTGCATCATTCAGACCATTTGTTTTGTTTCTCATTGCACATAACACACACTCTGTTATAGATTAAACTACATAGGTATGTTCAGTCATGTGATTATACCATTGTTTGTTGGAATGGTTTGTATATAACATTTTTGTTGCAGCTTTGTATTTAAATCAGCTTTTTTGCTCATTACATGTAGATTTAATAACAAATTATTTTTGTGTGCAGCATTTTGCTAATACATGTATATACTTTCTAAAGTGCACCTTAATGTATTTCATTTTACAAGCTGACAGTTGTGTACATGATTTAGTTTAATTTGTATGAATGTCAGTTTTCTGCTGTGGATATGTGAAGGTCTCATAATGCTATTTCGTAGAGTTTGTGATCACATTTTGGATCAATAACTTACGTTTGATAACATGTTGTTTCTAAGCACATGTCTCACAAAAATGGTATACTGAAGGAATTGATGATTAATTTCAGTTCCAGCAGGTTTTATTTGTGTGAGTTGATAAAATGAGATTTCAGGGGCAAGTCTAAATTAAATGATTTTTCATTTGACTTCCTAGGCAATTTTTCATTCTAATGCAAAAGCTCATTTTTCATTTTTTTATCAGTAATATTGTGACCTATTACAAGCGATTTATCTTTATTTCCATCCCCCATAAAGTGAAGTTTAATTTATAGATATACATGTATTGTAATAAGAAAGAGGATTGTTGTTCCTTTACACAAATTCATGCACTGAACTCAGCTTTGCTGTCATTTTTTGGGGGGTCAAAGCTTGTGTAGTCTAGGATTCCTGAAACATTGATCTACATTTAGTTGGGCATTAAAATTACAATGAAGTACTGGTAGAATTTTTTTATTTTTTAAAGGTTGGCACTAGGCCGCTTGGACTAGGACAGCTAGAGACAGAAGAGAATGGAAATTTCATGAGGAGGGCTTTGTCCAACGTCTGGATGAACTATAGCCTGATAGATAGATAGATAGATAGAAAAATAAGATATAAATATCCTAGAAAAAAAAGATGACTTTTAAAAGCTAAAGTAATTATTTTTCTTGAGACATAACCCCCCTTTTTTTTTTAAATTGAAACAAAATTATCATTTTTAATTTGATATTATTTCAGAAAACCAATCATGAACTCCATATAAGCCTGAATGCTATCCATTCTTTCTTGCAATCCAATAATTCAAGCATTAGTTGTATGAGATTACAAAGAGCTGTACTAGCTCCGAGCCTTTCAGTGTGGATGATGTGTGTTTACACTAATGTGTACTTTTGTGTCCAGCAGGTTACCATAGTGATACCAATGCCAGCTCCCAAGATGAGTCCGGTAGTCAAAACAGTGGTACTGCACCCCGCACCAACCCCCTCTCTAGCTTCACTGTACCTGCTCCTCCTCCTCACTACCAACATCCACAGGCCAAGGGTATGTATGCATTATTCAAATGATCACGATATAGATGGTGATTAAATTAATGTTGATTTTGATAATAATGATGATGATGATGGTGAAAGTGATGGTGGAGGTGATGAAAAATTATATTGATTAGGAGGATGATAATGATAATAATACTGATGATGATGATGATGAAAGTGATGGTGGAGATGATAATAAAGATGATGAAAAAATGATATTTTTTAGGATGTTGATGACAACTATAATTTTAATGAGGTACTGTAAATGATATGATAATGTTCAGAGTTTATCAGCTCAAACCCTAATTGATCTTATGGATTAACACTGGGTATTTCTGTTAATGCTGTAGTGAGGATAACTGCTCCAACGTACAGTCCACTGAAGAGAGGTCAGCCTGGTCCAGGTCGAGGGCGAGCTCAACCTATGGCTGTCATCACACCCAAAGCACCGGATGTTACTTATAGAGGAATAGGTGATGGAAACAGCCCTGGGGTAAGGATTACTTCATTCATTCTCTCAATCCATTCCTTCATTCTGTCAATCCATTCCTTCCTTCTCTCAATCCATTCCTTCATTCTCTATCCATTCCTTCATTCTCTCAACAATCCTTCATCCACTGTATCCGTTCCTTCTTTCACTCAATCCATTCCTTTATTCTCTCAATCCATTCCTTCATTCTCTCAATCCAATCCTTCATTCTCTCAGTCCATTCCTTCATTCTCTCAATCCATTCCTTCACTCAATCCAATCCTTCATTCTCTCAGTCCATTCCTTCATTCTCTCAATCCATTCCTTCATTCACTCAATCCATTCCTTCATTCTCTCATTCCATTCCTTCATTCTCTCAATCCATTCCTTCATTCACTCAATCCATTCCTGCATTCTCTCAATCCATTCCTTCATTCTCTCAATCAAATCCTTCATTCTCTCAATTCATTCCTTCATTCTCTCAATCCATTCCTTTATTCTCGCAATCCATTCCTTCATTCTCTCAACTTATTCCTTCATTCTCTCAATCCGTTCCTTCATTCTCTCAATCCGTTCCTTCATTCTCTCAATCGTTTCTTCTTTCACTCAATCTGATTCCTTTATTCCCTCAATCCATTCCTTCATTCTCTCAATCTGATTCCTTTATTCACTCAATCCATTCCTTCAGTCACTCAATCCATTCCCTCATTCACTCAACCCATTCCTGTATTCTCTCAATCTATTCCTTCATTCTCTCAATCCATTCCTTCATTCTCTCAATCCATTCCTTCATTCTCTCAATCCATTCCTTCATTCACTCAATCCATTCCTTCATTCACTCAACCCATTCCTTTATTCTCTCAATCTATTCCTTCATTCTCTCAATCCATTCCTTCATTCTCTCAATCCGTTCCTTCATTCTCTTAATCTGTTCCTTCTTTCACTCAATCTGATTCCTTTATTCACTCAATCCACTCCTTCATTCACTCAATCCATTCCTTCATTCACTCAATCCAATCCTTCATTCACTCAACCCATTCCTTTATTCTCTCAATCTATTCCTTCATTCACTCAATCCATTCCTTCATTCACTCAATCTATTCCTCCATTCTCTCTATCTGATTCCTTCATTCTCTCAAATGATCCCTTCATATGTTTTTCAAGACAGGTGTGTTATAGCATAAATATTGTCAATAAACTACTCGTAAAGATTCACATACTGTTCGAACGCAATGAATACAATGTGAAAGCCCTTTGATTTCAACAGGCCCAATTATTTTATAAATTAGGATAATAAATCAAAGACTTCTACATCTTACTGAATAGTTTAATTGAAAGGTTAAATATTCAGAAATATTGTATATCTCATTTTCTCTTGTATACTTGATGGTTCTATAGACATATCATGACAACCTATGGTATTTTGTTTCCTATGTAGAGTTAAAAGCATTCAACCTTAAATATACATTTTGTTTGTTTTCCTTTTCTATTTGTTGAAATGACAGTCGACTGTGCGTACATTCAGTGCTGAGGATCTGAATGCTGAAATGATGCACCTGGAAGGATTGATGAAAGACCTGAATGAAATCACACAATCTGAACTACAAAACTGATTCCCTTCTATCCTCTATATTCTAAGTGCCAGTTAATATGCTGTTTTAGCGAGACAGAGAGAGAGAGGACACAACCATTTTTAGAGAAAGAAGCAATGGACATAAAGAGCTATTTTGTACATAATGTTCAAATATGAAGCAGTAGGGGAGGCAAGAATATGTAAATGAAATGATGGTTGTCCAAAAGAAAAAATTTTACTTGTGGAATACAGAATGATAGGAATTGCAATGGATTTGTATGGTATATTTCAAAGTGATTTTCTTTCTTTGCTGTATTAAGTTGTGCATATATTTTAATATTAATAAATTTGTAATGCTGGGCCAAAATTGTAGGCTCTTAAGGTCTACTACATTAGTAGATTGTCTTAACATGATGCTCAAATTATCAAGGAAAGTTTGTTAAATTAAACATTTTCAAAAAATTCCATTTTGTCTCTTCCTGAAAACAATGTACATGTATTCAAGGGATTAGTAGCATGTGTTTGGAAGTTGAGTGGTTTATTATCTTTAATGTCTTTTTCTCTAACTCAAATTTGTAAAACAATTCAAGTTATGCCAGTTATAAAAACAACTCAGTATAAGCCAAATCAGTTTGTGTATTTTCAAACATGGTAAACATACCTACTGAACTGGATGTAATACTAGATGGAAGAATAAAGATTGTCTGGAGAGTACATGTATTAGCTGCAAACTATTGGTGTACTTCCGCCACATAAGTTTACCACTTTTCAATTTTCAACTCAGAAGTACATGTCATAACATTCTTGGTTTTACATATATGCAAATGAAGAACATTATGAACAATAAGAGGGATGTATGTGATGATTTATGTCAAGACTATAATTGTTGTCTAACTTTATGTTTGTATAAATGCTTTATCTATATTTAAATAAAGAAAACATGAACATGTGCCTATATTAGGAAGAATTAAGCATAGCTCTCCAAAATGTAGATCAAGCGTAACTGAGGCAATTTTTTGTGTCTTGTAAAAATGTGTAAAGGTAGCATATTTTGTCATGAAGATGTTAATCTGTAAACAGGGTGCTTTCTTTTTACATTTTCTGTAAAGTTGTTGGTCAATATGTATAAATTAAGGCTGAGCATAGACTCATTGGTTGAACCCAGTGGTGCTTATTAATATCTCCTCATTTCCTACGGTTCTTTCAAAGAAGTACCAATGATAATGTCCAAACATTAGGTTAATTGTATATGAAAATCTGGGTTTTGTAAATTATCAGTCCATCCAGTGTCCAGTTTGGTAAAGTATTCAAGGTTGAATATGCAGGATTTTATTATATCTTCATATTTAGCTGATTTTGTTGTTCAAGCTGTAGAGATTTTGAACATCTTTGGTCTGACCATGTCCTCATGTATATCTTGTTTAAACATTTAGGTATCTAGGTTAGAGCTTGTATTTTAATTGTACAATAAAACACGTTGATAATGAAGAATGCTAGAAATATAAATGGTTTTCTTTGTCATTTTGCAGCAGCATCACAATGTTTTGTAAAGGTTCATTGTCATTCTTCCATTTTGAAATGTATTTATGCACAAGTCAACCCGAGGTGGGGACTTTAAAAGAATGTTGAATTGTAACATTTTAAATAGGAATTAGATTGCTTTGCCTATTGAGTTTGTAGCGTTCTTTTATGCTCTGACCAATTTCCAATGATCCAAAATTGCTTTTCAAAAAGTATTCTTTGATAAACATATGTAATCACTTCAATTATAATCTTTTGATCATGTCAAGTGAATTTACTTGATTTTGCCCCTTTTTCCAAATAAATACAATTGTTCTTTTTTCTAGGAAATTGAATCAATATATCTTTTGTGAAAGATATCAACAATGGCTGAATTATCTATTTTTGGCGAAAAGTGAGTGTTTCTTAAACAAGAATCAAGAGAAGAGGAACCTGTAAAGAATTGAATTATTATCAGTACTACTCTAAGATATTAGGTACTCAAAGAGTTTAGCCCTTTAGTATATTTATTGACACATTTGTGTAAGAAGCTTGTAAGTTATTTCTAATGTGAATAGTAAAATTATGGTGCTGTAGGTTGCTAGGTTATTCAATTTTTGTAATTTTTGTTACCTCATTTCCCAGTAGCAGTTTTCAGCTTTTAAATTGTATGATAAATAATTATAAGAAGTTTCATCTTAATGGAAGTAATTTAACAGTTTTGGTCTCTTTTATCACACGATATTACTATATTAATATAAACCACACACAAAATCAAATCAAATCAAATCAAAATGATACAGTGATATTTCTTGACTAATGTCTCAGTGAATATAATAATTCCATATTAAGAGATCTTATATGAGCAAAGTAAGATGTCTGTCAAATTTCTATCAGGAGCTAACTACAGCTATATGCTTTCCTATTTTGCTTTAAAACTTTGTGACAAAGAAGGATTATTGAAAAGTTATTTTTTGTTTAATATTTATTTTGATGAATGCTGCATTTGAATGTTTGATAATGTCTGCAATGAAACCTTGCAGTTTACCAGAAAAAAGGAAAAAGAATTTGTGTTATCATCGAAAAGGGTTTATGAAGTGGCATCAGTGAATCTATTTCAGTTTAATTAAGAATGTCTTAAGATTATATAAGAAAAATGAAAATTGTTAATAACTAATTGCATGATTGAATTTTACAGCACAATTCTGGTCATAATTTGTGTTTTAAGTTGAATCATTGATGAGCTATAATCATTTTCAGAATGATGAGATTATCCCTATGAGCTCCAAGCAAGCAGAGCAGAGGGCGTCCTGTTAATCACTGTGAAAATGAAGAGTTTTCCTGTATGTGTTCTTCAGTGATGACTGGAGAAGAAGAGACATGTCATATGAAAGTGTACATATGTCTTCTATTTTTATACAGTAAGATAAGTTTGAGCGGTTTTTGAGAGGAGAAAATAATTAATGTAGATTTAAAATAGTCAAGAGCCAGGCCATGTTGCTGAGTGTTCTATCGGCATAGAATTATTCATGTAAATGTATGTAATATTGATAGAATGTGCTTGATATGTATTTTGCTCTGAAGAAATGCAATTTAATGTGATTTTTGTCTTAATTGTACTTCCTTGTGAATGTATTTAAGTGGATTTATTGTTCTTTTTATAAAGGTATTCACTCTTTTATATTATTTCTATTTATATATTATTAGACATAGACCATACAATTCTGAATAAAACTTGCTTGCTTTTATGGAATAAATAGCTTCAATGCGTAATTTTCAAAAATGCTTAAGAGTAGTGCATTCTCTGCTGTCATTAAAGCCAATACAAATACAGCAGAAATATACATTTCAAAGATTATCAAACAAACAAACAAACAAACATTTACTCAACAGACTTCTAAATATGTGATATAAATTTTTGCTATACTAAATGAATGCAGCAGATTGTTTAATGTCTGTTTGCAAAATGTTACAAAGTCAGGGAATGATTATGAACTAGATCTGTTTGTATGGTTGTTTTTTAGTTGGATATGTTCGAATCGAATGGGTTGATGTGAATGATTTCTTTGGTTTAACGTACATTATTTTGAAGTACATTAATAGATAGATGCTCACATGCACACTCTTATCATACATCATCCAGCCAGGCTTAAGAAGAGACTACTTCAACGATTTCTATGACAGATTACTTTTATTGAGACCAAGCCAAAACAACAGTTTACAAACCAAAGAAAAATAATCTTTTGTCTTATATGTACAAGATTAGAATAAAGAAACGAGTCTAAATATCATGTAAACCAACCTCTATGAACACAACCTTCAATTGTCAGATGTGGCACTTCTTTGGGGCTTTAATTATTCACATGTTTGTGGTATGTAAATCCACTGAAGATGTTTTATATAGTCCTAACCTATTATAGGCCTACTCTTTAATTCTCGAGTTGCGTCTTTCATTTTCCCGTTAATTTATTGAATGATATGAAAGTCTTCCCCGACAATGCGTACACTCCTAAAAGTGAAGTTGAAAGAAAGATACAGAAGAATTACTGCATAGAAGAGTACAATATTAAACCGTAATGACTAAAGCATACAACACTTTACTTGCTTTGTTCTTGGTGCTTTGCAAAAGTAATCAAGAACACTGGAGTGATTAATAACGTTTCTTGACAAATTAAATAAAAAGTACATTTGACACTTCTAAGAAATTCACCAGACATCAGTTAAACTTTTTTATGGAAAATAGATCCGTTTCTATGGAATAGTTTTTATGTTTCCTATATAGCCGCATGAACACGTTGAGATTGCCTAAACGAGAAGGGAAACACAGGAATAATTCTCGATTTTCTTTAACAAAATGAATGTAAACACGTTGAAAATGTAGAATGTGCTAATAAAGATATAATAGTCAATACTTATTAGGCTACAAAGTAATATAATGCGTAATTTGTCTATGTCAACAAAAAGGTCAGCTAGCTATTGATGAGAAATTTGTGATTTAAATTATGTGAAACATCTAATGAAACTACAGTCGCTGTAATATTCTAACATAAAAAAATCTTAAAATGACAAACGTACGTGCTACTGCACATACAAAATAAGTCGCTACATTTATGTCGTATGTATTTGTTGATTGTTCAATTTACTTTTTTTATATTAGATATTCTCTTTTGTCGCAATTACATGCTTTTAATAAAAAAGGAGTCATAATATTTGGCCGAGAAATATTAATCTTGTCTATCACAATTTTGTTTTTCTTACCAGTGTTATTTGATATTTAGAGTTTATGGAATTGAGACATTGGGTTCCTGCGTTGCGGATTAAATACACGAATTTCGATGCTCTCATTTTTCATCTCGAGGAATTATCCAAAGCCTGACTCACTAAACCGCTCTGACTATGTGTGATCTTATGCTAGCGTCTTTATAAATAGTAGAAGAAACCCTTCATCCTGTCTTGTCAACACTCTGCAAAAGTGGAGTCTTTAGGTGGCAAAGCCAATAGTTCACTCCGAGCAAGACAATCTGAATAAGCGAGAAAAAACCCCGAGGCTTTCTTCCTCTTTACCTTTATCATTAAACACAAGCAAGATGCGAAGGAGATTAAAATCACGCTTCGGCAGCGTCCTTGCATAATTGAACATTTATTAAGTAGTCAAATCACTCCATTCTCAATCTTTATGTTTATTTTATTGGTCATCGTAATTTGCCAACCTGCTTTCCCCATCGACAAATCAATCATATCTAATTTGCCTTGGAGATGAGCATGAGTGTGCTCTTTATCCAGAACATTTCCATTATAGGGAATGAAGAAGAAAAAATATGTAGAACAAGATTTCATTCGCCCTGTGTTGCTATTTTTCGTGGGAAACCCGGTGAATAAAAGTTTGTGCAGGTGCCTAGATTAAAACAACATTTGTTCACGCTGTTAAAACAATGAGGAGATGTGGCTGTAATTGTTATCTAGATGTGAGTGAAAGGTACGCCAGAAGGCTCTCTGCAACATCAAGTCAAGTTTAACAAATTCAATATGCATCCCATCAAAACCGAACCTTTCTATATATAAAATAGAGGCAAACAATCTTGATTTTGGAACTGGCCTTCAGCAGAATGGAGTATATGAGCCTTAATTCTACCCTGTCTAAACATCGTGTATCATGATACCTTCCTCACCACAAACAAATTCTCGAACACCTGGAAGTCAAATGTCAACGTTGTTTGTTTCTTTTTTAATGACGTCATAACAACACATATTTAACTAAACGACAAGAAATGACTATTTTTCAGATTTATCAATTGACATTTCCTTTGTGCACTTTTCAATAATCATTGCAGCGTTAAAAATAATACATGTATGTGTACATTTTGTATATTACTATTAAAAGGCGGCGATGGGGTGGGACGGTGACCCGTTTCCCAGAAATATATATTTTTTTAAATTATCATGTAATGACTCGACCTTTAACATGACACCAAAGAGGCTCTATAATGCTCTAAGAGGCAAATTTTATGTATTTGAAAATGGAAAATCTCGTGCGGTCGCTATGATCCTTCGCATAATAACGATGAATATGATGGATTGCACTCAGCTGAACATAGCTATGGAATCAAAATATAAGCACAGACGTAGTGCGCTTAAAATGGGGTCTTATATGCTTAAGAATGCAGGATCAGGAACCCCCACCCCACCCCCTTCTAAAAAAAAAAGAGAAAAGGGGGAGGGGAATCCCTTCAAAAGTCTAGATAGCATATTTAAAGCAAGCTTTTCTCATTTGTGGTTGTCATTGCAAAGTTTTTATGCAAAATCAGACGGGGAGGGAGGAGAGGAACCGGTTCTGTCGCTACTTCCTTGGATTTTTCCCCCCACTCTTTTTTGAATGAAAGAAATCGCCGCCCCTGCATGCTACATACACGTACCAATAACCGGAGATGAAAAGAGAAACTAAACCTTGATCACGTGGGGCGGAATAATATTAAAACTGATATGTATATATGTATACTGTACAATTGTGCTTTAAGGTAATTTCACATTATAAGAGTTTAGTTTATTTACTCTAATGCACTTATTTGATTTTATAAATTACAAGTTAAAACTATTTAATCAAAACCGGTGAGCCACGTGCGTGCAATCGGTAGTTGTGACTGACAGCAACCATTATGTACAACCGAGAGAAATGGGAGACGTCAATATATATATATTTCCGTTTTGTTTACATGGGTATAGTGCTGGACTAAAGTGATTTATGTAGAAATTAAAAATATAAACAGTTTGATGGGAATATTTACAAAGCAAAATCGAATTATTGAGGTGAGATCTATTTTTTGTTTACGTGACGACATGACATCACGTGAGATGTGCTTCTAGCGGAGATCAAGCCCTTTTGATACTGCGAAGTCTTCGATCATCTGCAGAGGAAGGGAAACGAGAACGAGAGAGAAAGAGAGAGAGAGGGGGAAGGAGGAAGGAGGGATGAAGAGATAAAGAGGGAGGGAGAGAAAGAGAAAGAGAGAGAGAGAGAGAGAGAGAAGAAAAAGAGAGATGGAAGAGGTAGGGAGGGTAAATATAAAAACAATGATCAATTAAACATCGAAAGAGAACAGAGAATTATTAATTCTATTCTAGTTACCATTCAAAACTTTCTTACTTTCAAAAATAATAAAGTGATGGTTCAATCAATTGCTAAAAATATATTATTCCTTTTAATTGGTGAATCTAATTGTCAAATCAATACTCGTATACTTCAAGCTGCATCAAATGATATAATCGAACAACTTAGATCGGGATTATATGCTGGGTCACCTACTCAATATGTTTTCTACGAAATCGAATGTCCTCCTTTGAAGACTCCCAGTATCTTCGTTATTTTTCGTGCTTTAAATATATATTTGTTTTTAATTCAATGTTGGTACGCGATCGTTTGTTGAACCATCATATACACGTGTTGTACTACATATTTGGTGGTAAATGGATCAAATTGGAAGTCAGTATAGAATCGAGTAGAGAATTGTCTGGTAGTGTATAGTATAATGATGTGAAATGTTTGATGCCGTTATATACGCTTCAGGATGGACAGTGCAGGGTGACGATATAGGCAGGAAATACTATTAAAAAATACCCAGTCCAGTTGGGTACACTGCATTTCCTGCATATTAAAGTATATATTTTTATTTTTTAAAAAGAAGAGGAAAGAGTCATCTACGTTGTCGAATGTATCATGTACGACAAATGGACTTAGCCACTGACGTAGGAAGAGGGGGATACTGCCTCTTAAATGTTCCACGCCGAAAAGTTCAGGATATATATATTCTTTAACTCTCTTACTCGACTTCAAATAAAGCAGAACAGATAAGGGGATATGATTGGATTGAATTATATATATTTACTGTATTATCATTGTTTGCTTACTCTGAGCGTGTTGAGCAATATGAATTGCTAAGTTTTCTTCCAACCCTATCTGTCAAAACTTTTGAAAGCTATGAATATATTGATTTCTCACTACAATGTTCTAATGATCACGGGAGGGATGTCTCAATATAATACTTTGTCTTATGAAGGGCATTTTGGTGGATGTGAACATCCCCATCAATGGGCAAATGAGTGACTTTACATGTAATATTTCCTGTATGATTCAAAAGAATGACACTCGTGTACAGGGGCGGCGATCTCGGGGGGGGGGGACAGGGGGGACACGTCCCCCCTCAATTATTTTAGGGGGATTGTCCCCCCGGAAAATCTGAAAAAGTGCCCCCAAAAAGTGTATATCAAATACTGATTAAAGACTGCAACAAACATTTAGGCTCTGGAGGGCCCAAGAGTGCAGTGTTTAGACAAATAAAAATGCAAACATCTTCTTGCTCGGGAACTACGCTCCCTCGCATAATATCCTTCAAAGTGTTCAGGTAAATATTGTGGAAAAGAGAAGTGTGAAAAAAAGTATATTGCTTGTGTTTATACTATAGTTTTGCTAAGGAAAGTAATTTTTTAATACAACAAAACTTCAAAAATCTGTGCGGGGGTAGTCACGTTCGTCACCTTCAGTCCTCTCATTCACTATGCTTCCTCGCACTGGCGTAATGATTGGGGGGGGGGGGTCAGGCAGTTGCCCCTCTAATAAAATTCAAACGTGGTTTATTTCTAATTCGATACCAGTGCTTTATAAATGGTGCTAAAATATGGCATGGTTTTTCCCTGTGCTTCCGGGAGGCGTTATTTTTTTATGCGGCACAGATTGGGGCATGGCGCGTGTTAAACCTATGGGAAGTACGTTCTTTCCCTTCTGAATAGTGTCTGCACATACGTGAGACTAGTCATGTTAGCTAGCGCATTAGATAGCGCTGCGAAGAAGTTTGTATATCCATCGCGAACTATGTGTTTAGATAACATTCCTCTTCGTTTAAGTTAGTTAAGTTTTATTGACTAATTATTGTGATGTTCTCCTTATTGACGTGCTGCCTCCTCTTCAGATTTCCAATTTGATTTTAATTGTCGATGTAATGATTTTCCATGCGGTAGTGGATTAAATGTAACACTATTAAAAACAGACTTCTACTACTTATACTCTCTAGTACGCACACGACCAGTATTAGTCTGTAAATCAAGACCCCTTTTTAAAAAAAGCCCCAATCTGTGCCGCATAAAAAAATAACGCTTCCGGGAGCTCTGCCCCCTAGACCCCACCTAGGGCCGTAATGCGGCCACTGGTTGCTCCTCTGACCGTAAACAAATGCCTTAACACCCTGAGCTTCGCCCCCTTGGACCCTACCATGGGTCCTAGGGCGGGCCCCTGGATGCTCATCTGACCGTTATTAAATGCCTAAAACCCCTGAGCTTCATGGGGCTAACCCCTGAACCCCAATTTGAAAAACGTTCCGCGGGGTCTTCATGTAACTTGTTAGAGTAAGGGTGATGCGGATTTTTTCTTCTTCTGCCCCCTTCCCCAAGCGTTTTTTCTCATTACACCATTGCTCCCTCGTCTCTCGCATTTCGCCCCCCCCCCCCTCCCCCGTCATGAAAAGAATTTGCCGCCCCTGCTCGTGTATGTAACTGTGTTACCAGAGTTTGAACAAGCACGTTTTTACCGGCTCCCCCATAAAAGCCTTTACTCATTCCGACCATGGACCCTACTAATATAGGTCCATATTCCGACACTGCACTCAACCAATGTTACAGAATAGTTGTTATCTAGTAGGGATCATGGGGTGAAATGTAATAGCACTTTGATTTTTTATTGGAATATTAACAAAAACTTCTTATGTTGTCAGTATGATACATTTCGCACAGAATACCCCCCCCCCCCCCACAAATATAAAAGAAACAAATAAATCAATGCATTATCGAATAACAAAGATAAAACTGCCCATGATAGAATGAGAGCTATTTCCCTTTACTTCTTCATCGTGATCTTTAGACTTGTTATATCCAATGGAAACAGGACATCCTGACAGAACTACATCAAGCTGAATTGTCTTCGTCGTATTTCCCGACTGCTAGCTTGTTGATATAACCACGACCATGGTGAGGGTCATGACCATCGGTTTGACCGTATCTCTGCCCGTCTCTTGCCTGTCACTAGACGGTGGTTCAAAGCAAACACTACAGAGCCGTTAAAGGATAGGGTTTACTAGTGTCGAGGGTGTGGCGTGATGCATGCCGTCAACTTCCACCATTAAACCAACAACCTTAACTCTGCCCTTCAAATATCTCCTTCCCTTCCATCAAATGAAAGCATGGAACGAGGTTGAATGGCATCCTTTCGAATCGTTCATCTCGTCATACAAAATAGAATTGTCATTAAATCATAAAGATTCTATGTTATAATCGCAAAAATTGCGCTACGCTACTCAAACTAGATCATCCACAATTTTGTTTGGATTTGAGAATGATGTTGAACTGAATTATGACACTGATTCGAGAGGTTGTTGGAAGTATTTTTGTAGAAAGAAGGAGTCCAACTACAATAGATTAAGTTAGTTGATAGTAGAGTAGTCTTATATAGGCGGGCGCTGTCTGTTTTGTATTTCTTTAAATTGTTAGTCAATTTCAGGATAATGTTTGAAGCTGATCGCTTTTTCGAACAATCAGGGTTATAAATAAGTAAATATTAAGTTAAGAAAATGGACACATAGAACTAACCTGTGTTGGACCGACGCGTCGGTTCTAACTGTCTTCGTCATAATGTACGGAATACAGTATAGGCCTATTCAATCGATGTATTGCCGAATATCTAACGATTCAGACGGAGGCTTTTAGTAATTGTAATATACCTTATTTTGAGTGTTTGAGCCTTTGATGTGAAAAAAGAGTATGTCTAAATCTTGCATATGTTGGGAAACATATCATTTGGCATTACAAACATCCAGTGGGAAGATAACACTATTTGATGCAATACAAAATTATAGCATTAAATAAACTATGTATACCACTCGTTGGGAATTCCTCAGAACTCTGGTAAAACAAAATTAATTAATCATAGCTCAAAGAAATTATAAAAATAATCACTGACTGCAATGGTACAATAACGAGCTTACACAAAGTATTTTGTTCATATTCCCGTTTGAAACATAAATAACCAAAAAAGAGGTCTTCGGGCATTTTATGAGAAATGAAATTGAAATCCCTCTCTGATATAGGCCTACGATCTGTCGTGTTTTAATCCTAAATAGTTTTCATGTGCTCCCATGTACTTGCCTATCCAACTTCCCTTTTCCCTGTTTGTTTCTGGTCTATCTATATATCTCTCGCTCTCCTTCTCCTCTCCCCCTCTCTCCATTGCTTTCTTCTTCTTCCTCTTCTTTCTCTAGTCTACCTTCAGTCTAATATTTAGTCATTGCCTCGGTATACACATGATCATTTGGTATATCTTCAACATGATTGCATTTACTTCTTTCAGGTAAGTCACTGTACAATTCACACCACGTTATAAAAAAGGTGCGTTTTTAAATTGTCTGTATTCGGCGTAGTTCAGTTGGCCTTGTTGCCATTTCTTACGCAATACTTTAGGTGGGAGGTGTGTAAAAAGATTCCACTTGAATCACGTTGCCACTCACATTTTAATTAGACTTTGACAAGTGGATGGGGTGAATGCAATAAGAGTCATGAAATCCCGCTGAATCTCATACCCTACATACCGTTTAACGAGAAAGGCCACTGTGAGGAGCGAAAAATAATTATGAAGAAAGGTCGTGTAACATGGGAGACAGAGGGTGGGTAACAGTTTTTATCACAGAGGGCGACTTCAAAATGGATTTGCAAATGGGTAATATAAATGACGTAACACTCTGAACACGCACCAAGCTCGTGAGGAGTAAAAGCTATTCATGATATGAATATTATTCTGACAACTATATTTATAACCTTTGCAGGAATCTGGATTGTAATTATTTTCATGTTTATTATCAGGCATAAA